AGTATGTAACTACTGACAGGCACAAAAACAGCTCTCAAGAGTTAAGACTTTAAATTTAATTTTCCTAGTTGTTTTAGAATTGTGATCAAATAACTGTATTTTATTCTGTTCAAGAAATTGGCATTCATGTTACAAACTGAAAGAAAAATTCAATATGGCCTCAAAGATGAATTCATTGATTATGGCATGCATCACAATGCTCCAAAGATAGTATACTTTCACTTTAAGTTCTTAAAAGGTAAATAGTATAAGTTTCTTCAGATATGTTCCCTATTCCTTTTAGATTTGAATTCAGGGTCTCCAAATCGTACTTGGCTTTCCTGCTCATGGCTGGTACTCTACCACTTGAGCCACACCTCCAGCTTAGCTCTTTCTTTTTGGTGGTAATAGCAGATGAAGTTTGAAGGACTTCTCTGCAAAGGTTGATGCAAAGCTTAAACCTTCAGGGCTCAGACTCCTATGTAGGTAGGATTACAGGAATAAGCCAGATAATCTGCTCAGATAATCTGTTTTAAAGACTCACGTTTTCTCTATAGTATAGAGAGTGTGAAGAGTTGTCTGGTGAAGTTCATGTTCTATTGACTCTGCCAGAAAATCTTCAATGCATGTTTTTTAGATTAGTATACTTTTTTTCCCTTCCAACAATCTACTATCAGGAGGTTAAGTATAAGTTGAAAAACTTGTTTCAGAAAGGGCTACTTCTCATTATCTCTGTTCTACTCAAATGTATGGTCATCAAAACAAAAAGTAGTTTGGGCAGTCTTAAATTTTGGGAGACCCACCAAAATGTATTTAAAGTAATGGTTGCTTTCCCATACTTGTATTCTGATCCATATTTCTTTACAGCTAAGTTCTCAAAGTTAGATGCTTTTAATTAATGAGAAATAGGTACAATAAATGCTTTAAGCCAAAAGCAAAGTATAATTGGTATTTATTATGACATGTGTAAAGACAAAACCTTTGGTTAAAACATTAAATATCAGTCTTATATTTGTCAACAGACTTCTCTACAATATACTTCAGGAACTCACTGGGAACAATTTAAATTCATAATGATGAGTGGAAAGTACATATGTCACCTGGAACCAATATAAGAAACTGAATTTAAATATTCAAATACTCCTAAATACAAGCTTTTGTACATTTTCTCTAATAAGTTTGGAAACTGTTTGGGATTAAGATGTCTCTAAGCAGGGTTTCAAAAAGTTAAAAATTTAGTTTCCTTAAGTATTGATGTCCTTAAATTGTTGGCTTGATTATTAAAAAACAGACAACCCACACACTTTTTAGGAGATACTACAAAAGAGAAAAAAAAAACTTTAGCCCACCTTCTTATGTTTTCTAGGGTATTAAGAGTTTTAGTGCTTTTCTATAAAAACATAACACAAAATCAAGAGATCCATTTAACTAGGAAAACTTCTAGACTTTAAATTTTTTCTTACTAGTTTGGAATATTAGCAATCAAAGGTATGAAAAATGCCAGGCACTAGTGGCTCACACCTATAATCCTATCTACTCAGGAAGTTAAAATCTGAGAGTCCAGGGTTGAAGCCATCCCAAATGGGCAAAACCGTGAGACTCTGATCTCCATCAGCAAAAACTCAGAAGTGGAGGCATGGTGGTTGAGAGCCAGTCTGTCAAACATGAACAAAAATGCAAAGTGAGAGAGATCTACAGTCCAAGCTCCAGTTCTGGTATACATCTACAAAAAACATGAAAACTCAAATTGGACACTTTGTGTGTTTTGTGTTGTAAAAGTACATATTTAGAATTTTAAGACTATAGGTGTTTTTTCCTAGTGTGATAACCACTTTATTTTTGAGTGGAGTATTGGCTGGTAGAGGGTAAACATGGGACCCTCTGGGATACCAGGAACTCATTCCTTATTTGGGTTAATGATAATGTATTTTTGTATGAAGATGATCTTTTATCTAGCTTTATGTTTAAGATTAGATACTTTATGATTATATATTTAAGTGCTTTCTGAAATGCAAACCATTTTCCAGTGAATTTTTAGTATGATTTTATAAGTTAAAAGGGAAAGGCAAAACAGCTGATGCACATAGCAAATAAATTGCTAGACAACTTCAGGCAAATTAACTGTATGTGAAGCTAGAGTAAGGTTTCAGTGATGAGAAGTTACTAATCAGAAATGGTGGTAGAGTCTCAATTTATCAGTTTAACTATAAGGAAGTGTTATATGCTCTGGTTTGGTGGTGTATACCTGTAATTCCAACACTTGAGAGGCTGAAGCAGGAGGATTGTGAATTTTGAGGCTAGACTAGTCTACATGGCAATATCCTGTCTCAAAAGAAAAAAAAAAGTGATGAATACATCCTCAAGTAGGTGACATAACTATGGCATGATTACTTGGTACTCATTATTTATTTATATATTTATTTCTGATTCTCACTTAATGGATTTTTGTCACCATAAGGCTTGGATTTCGGAAGGATGCAGGCCGAAAAAGAATGAAAGCTCAGTTTGTTTTGTTACTTAACTGTTGTTTTTAGTGTGCTAACTAGCTGAAGTTACGACTCATTTTAAATGATGCATTGTTTTCCTATTTTTAAGGGAAAAGGGGCTTGTTTACACATGAAATATAAACACTTATCTGTCGCAAGTGATTTTTTTTTGCTTTTACTTGGAACTATGTTAATTTTCATCACCTCCAAAAGGCTTTGAGAGGATTAGCTGCAGAGACCAATATTGTTCTATATTAGTCAGTATTAAGCATATGATGTCACTTTGTTTCCTTCTCTCCTCAAGCTTTTCTTTTGAGGGAAAGGGAGACTTTTGGGGCAAGGTGGGGGGCATTTCTCAAAATACTGTGGCTTACATACCACTAGCTGACACACGATTGACAACGTTACACTTCAAAACCTGTTTGAAATGGGTCAAATACCTAAGCGCTGCAGAACAATGCAACCCAATGGGCAATTCCCCATAAAAGAGAAAGGCGGTGTGATTAGATTGCAGCTAGTAAGCGAGTTATTGCAAAAATAGTTTGATGGTTTTGTTTATGCAATAGACACGGGGCAGGCTACTGTATTCTCTTAGTTGTTTTTTTTTAAAGGACTTTGATATATATATATATATAAAAGAGGGTAGGACCAATCACCCAAAGCGAGAAGCAATTGGGACAAACATTTAAGGGCTTGACGGAGGTCCTGCTGGTGACCTGTACCATTGGTTATCGATCATTAACTCTGCTGGGGAACGATGGAAGGGAATTTGTGTGAGGCTTCTCGAGCCACAGGAAAGGAGATGCAGGAGGGAATAGAAGCTTCTAATAAAAGAAACGCAGCAACAATAGCGGAGGAACAGCTCTGCCTGGTGACGTAATGGCTGGCAGCGGTCCAGCTTCCAGCAGAGCTGCTGCTACCTCAGCATCCAACCTCCCTCCACACAGTCCGGCTGTGGCCAAGCTACCGGGGAAGGCTACTTCTAAAGCGATGCCACTTGATCGTGACCACCGAAGCCTCACCTCAGAGGATCAAAACACACGGGACAAAGGCTTGTCCCGGCGCTGCTAAGTGGACGGGGCACACGGGCTCTCTCACTCCCACCTCCCACCTTTCCATCATCGGGTCCATCAGCTGCTTAAGTTTAGAGCGAACCCACGGGTGCGTCTCGGGAGTGACTCAGTTTCCCCAGGCTGGTGGCGAGTCTGTCCGACTCTGCCCGCCCGCCTCTCCCTGGGCCGGGCGTCTCGGGCGGGAGTGGATCGGGCTCTCCCTCCCTCCCTCCCTCCCTCTCCCCAGGTCCCCGCACGCCGGTCCTCCCGCCTTACCTCCGCCAGGTAGAGATTGAGGAGACAGAGCGTGGAGAACTGGAGGCAGGAGGGGAAGCAGTAGAGCAGCCAGTGCGGGAAGAAGTGCAGGTGAGCAGGCGGCCGGAGCAGGGGCAGCGAGCCGCTGAGCGAGAAGGCGGCGGAGAAGAGGGTGGTCCTGAGCGCTGCCCACAGGAGGCAGAGGAAGAGGCAGAGGCTCTGGTAACTCAGCCGTCGCTCGCGGTACAGGAGCAGCCGCCACAGCTGCAGGTAGGCAAAGGCGAAGAGCGCGGCGTAGAGCAGGGCGTGCAGGACGCTCAGCGCCAGCTGCACCGAACCCGGCACCGCGGCGGCGCCCGAGGCGGCAGCGACGGCGCCCCCGCCTCCGCCACCCCCGCCGCCGGGCGTCGAGGCTTCGCGGGCGGCCGCCGGACCCGGCACGGACACCCTCATGTGGGAGCTGGGGCACTGGGGAGGGAGCACGGCAAGGAAGGGGCCGGACTGCGGGCCGCCGTCGAGGGGGCGGACTGTCGTCCCCTGACCCCCCCACCCACCCCAGCCTCCAACCCCGGAGCGCGCCGTGACAGGACCCGGAGCCCCGAGCAGAGCAGCCCGCGGTTCCACACCCCCCCCACCCCCTACTCGCGACCCCGCCTCCTCTCCTCAGTCCCCCCCCCACCCACCCCACCCCCTCAGGGGGCTCGGCTCTCCTGCTGAGGCTTCGCTCGCGAGCGGCGAAAAACAACTCTCGGCTGGAGACAATCAGCTGAGAAACCCGAGCATTTGAGGCGCTCGCTCCGCACCGTGGGCTGGCACTGATTGGCTCTGGTGGACACGCCCCCCGAGCGCCGTCCTCGGAAGGCCACGGGCCGAAGGGCCCGTCATTCAGAGACCTTGAGCCCTAATTGGGCATCCTCTTTACCCCCCTTTCTCCCCCCGCTGCACACCCCACCTACGCCGCTGATTGGCCCAGCAACTGCGCTGTCCGCGCCCGCCGGCGGGAGGACTCGGTGGTCGTCTGTCACTTGGGGCTGCTCTCGCTCCGCCCCCGGCGCTTCCCATTGGTTGGAGAATCCCTTACGTAAGGAGCACGAGGAGAGGGAGGAGTCCCCGGGGTTGTTTTTTGCCCCGGAGACCCAGTCGTCTGAGGGGGTGGTTGCTGCCCGCGAGGAGGGCGGGGATGCTGCGCTCTCACAGGTAGGCGTAGCGGTTGCCAGCTGCTGGGAGAGCCGGCCGCGGCCCCGCCTTCCGCCTCCTCCAGGGTCTGGGGTGGCGGGAACTGTGGGCCGCGGGCCTGGGTCTTGCACGCAAGCAGGTAGGTGGCAGCGTGGGTCCTTCCGTCTGCAGGAATGCAGACCCGGGCTTCTCCCCGGGCACTGGTTGTGCCCTCGAGCGCTAGACTCGTTTTTTGGGGTGCCTAAGGAGCCTCACCTGCACCCTTCTAAGGGGTTTTCTTCTTCTTTTCTTCTTCTTTCCCTGTGTGAAGAGGAAGGTGATTCTTTGCAACTAACAGTTTGGAAAGATGCTCTGAGCATAAGCCCAGGGAAAGAATTGTCTTTGATGGCTGGGGGATCGACGACGAGGGGGAGAGAGTCTGTACTTAATTCCACAATGTGTTGAGAGTATACATGTAATGCGTGTATGTGTGTGTGTGTGTGTGTGTGTGTGTGTGTGTGTGTGTGTGTGTATCGAGTCCGGCATAGGAGATGATGTCACTATTCCAACCTGGGACTAAGAGAGATACGAAATAGAAATGCTATGTTACTACTGTAAATGAGGAAGAAACTGATCTCTCAATATAGATGAAGGCTGCAACATAATTGTGGACTTTTGTATTTAATAAAAAAAAACACACTGGTGCAAATTCATGAGTAAATCACGTGCTCTGGAGAATGAACAGCACATCACAAAGTAAGGATCCTTGTGAAAGACAGCTGCTACATTTACAGGAACAACCAAAAAAGCAGACTTTAGTAATTCATTATCCCTTATTTTATGCTTTGTCCAAGAAGAATGCTGGTTTTTTTGTTTGTTTTTCCTAGCTGCATATTCTATTTATTGGTACTTCAAATTCTGGACCAATAGTTCACCAGACACTTCATGTGGGTGTGGCTTGGGTTCTTTCTAGGCTCCTGTCAACTTCATATATGTATATGCTGGCACTGTTTCATACATATTTGCAGAAGAAGCATTCTGTTGAATAGCTTGAAGAACAGTGGCCAGTAGTATAACTTACTGTGAGAGGTGAACAGTCTATTCCAACCTAACACTTGAAGATCATACTTACTGGAATTTAAGGTAATCACTTCATGGACTCTTAAGAGAGTGTGGTTAGGGCAGTATACTATTCCTTTCAAATAGAGGACAGAATGCTCATGACAGCAATGAGGTAATTAATTATAGTCATGGCTTTAAGCACGTAAGCATAAAATCAGTTATGTGATTTTAGTCATTTGCCAAAATTAAGGGCACAACTTGTTTTCTGGCATGGCCTATTTGTGCATCTTTCATAATCAACGGGAAGCAAATTTCAGGTCATAAGTGCTGTCTTGAGTTTTAGGGAAAAAGCTCTGGCTTCAGAAGAATCTCAGCTAGACTTGGGTACCCAGTCCAATACAACAATTGAAATGATAAAGAAAAGGAGATATAATCAAACTTGACTGCATTGGAGAGAACAGATATAGGATCTCAGTGATCCCAAGTCCATATTCAGGGGGTTTATGGAAACTTTGAGATCTTAGGAAAGCGAGATGCTGGGAATCAGGCAGTGGTCTGACCAACCATTATCTCAGGTTGAGTTTTACAGTGGGTTCTAGAAGATTTCTTATTGCTGTTGCTTAGGTGTATTTTCTCTGTTACATACATGGTTTATCCATCAGTCCTGTCAATTCCAGCATCCAAGGTGACTACAACAGAGAGAGAGATTCAGAAGGAATAAAGAGGAAAGTCATAGAGGGACAAATTGGAATTAATTAGGCCTATGACTATAATCATGAGTAGTCAATTAACAAAACAACAGGATCTTTCTTTTTCTCCTGTATTTTCTGCTCAAAATTTTGGTAAACAAAATATGGACAAAATATGTCTTTGTTTATGAGGCTGTTTCCCCTTCTCCCCATTTGATAGTGCATATCTGGATAGTCTCTTCCTTTCTCCCTCCTTTTGTTGGGATGAGTGTAGGGGCTGCAGATAGAATATTTTCTTCCCACTTGGCTTTGAAGGACACTGGAGAGATGAGATGTTTACTCCTTTTCTGGTCTCCTTTGGATCTTAAATAGTAAACTGCTGAGATCTAATCAGTATTTCATTTGAGGCTGGTTCAGTGAACAGGTTGTTTTCTCCAGCAACAGCATGAACTGTAAATAAGCTAATTTTGGACAGAATGTTCTTACAGGAACTTTGTAAGCATGAAATGCCCAGTTGTTGCAAAATAAAATGTTTTTTTTTTAATAAGTGAATGATATAATTTATTTAATAGTCATAGTTGCTAACTTCCTCTTTTTCTTGACATGCAGAGGCATTAATTTTATTGTTAATCATAAGGAAATTTCAGGTCTGTAAAGGAGAAAACACTAATGTTCTTTAGAGAAAGCTTACTACCAGATATTCTACAATTTAATATATCCACGTGCATAAAGGTTGGACGTTATTGTACTGAAAAGACCAATTACTCTAGTACAGTTGTCTTTTATACATTTTAAAGCATGAGAATTATATGTATATAGGATTCAATTCCAAAATGGGATTTGTCTAGTTAAGGATGACTACCAACTATTCATCCCTTCATTCCCCGCTTTTCCTTCCCTCAAGGAGCAGGTAACAACAAATCTTTACCTCCTGTCCTCAATAACAGGAAAATAGGTGCTTTTCTCTTATAATTTCCTCATTTATTCCACATAGGGGCTTTCTTAATATTCTGCATGCTGAATGGAGGATATTTTTGTTGTCATATACATTTTATCTGCATGTAGCCCTTTTTGTATTATGTTCTCACTGACCCATTCTTTTAGTATTTTGTTACTCTCTTAGTTACAAGCCATTCTTTCCATCTTTTAAATAACTTTTGGATGCATACTTGTTTAGAGATTAGGGCTGAGGTAAAAGTATCCATACTCTGATTGGTGCTTCAGAAGCATTATACTGAAGAATAAAGGTCCCTTGTCTAAACTGAAAGTTGGAAGGCCTATATGGTGGTATTGGAAAGAATGCTTTGCCTAACAGCTTGCCTCTGACTTTCCCTCCTTTTGATACAGGAGCCTATTGTAGTAATAGTAACTTAGCATTTGTGTGTGTGTGTGTGTGTGTGTGTGTGTGTATGTTGGTGTAGGCCAACACAAAAGCTCAAGCCTGAGCTAGTGTTCTGCCACTTGAGCTATAGCTCAACTGCTTTGTATGTGTGTGTGTGTGATTAATTAGAGATGAGTTTGAGGGACTGTCTTGTCCAGGATGACTTTGAACCATGATCCTCAGATCTCAGCCGCCTTAGTAGCTAGGATTAAAGGTGTGAACCATTGGTGCCTGGCTTCAGTTATTTGTATTTTAAATAGTCATCTTTCTTTTTATAATTTTCTTCCAATGTAATTGAGTAAAATTTTGATGAATTCTTTGAATTCTCTTGTTTTAAAATCTGGGACATATTTTTTTTCTTGTCAGTCGTGGGGTTTGAACTTTGGGCCTGGGTATTGTCCCTCAACTGTTCAGCTCAAGGTTAGCACTCTACCACTTGAGCCAAGCACCACTTCTGGTTTTCTGGTGGTTAATTGGAGATAAGAGTCTCACCGACTTTCCTGCCCAAGCTGACTCTGGGACATATATTTTATGTTCAACTCACTCTCCTCTTATGCATTATGAGGACAAGTATAGCAGTAGTGCTAGGCTAAGCTATTTTGTGTTAACTCCCAAAACAAGACATCTTATGTTCACATACTTTAGCTGGGAGCTTTGTTCTGTCATTCTGTTTCTGAGAGTTGGACTGCATACAGGCCTCATTTTGAGTGTTATCTCACAGCAAAAGGAATGCTTGTCATAAATCTTAACTCATGTATCCTGATCTTAGAAGCTTTCAGAACTTAAAAAAAATTATGTGGTACACAGGAATCGAACCCAGGGCCTCATGCCAGCTAGGCAAGCACTCTACCACTAGGCCACATTCCCAGCCCTCAGAACTTTTTTATGTCACTCTTCACATTTTATTGGCCAGATTAGCTCAATGAAATCAGGAAGTATAATTTTATCATGTATAGAGAATTAGAAAAATGACAGCCGAGTCTTCATGTTAACAAATATCCATATCCTACATGTTGTTCAACATGGAATTTTTTTTCTTTTGATGATGGTATTGGGTTTGAATTTGGGGCTTCACACTTGTGAGGCAGTCCCGCCACTGACTTTATACTAGAGATAATCCTCAAATCCCATCCAGTCACTGGATCAAGCTCAAAATTCAGCTTCTTTGAGGAATTCACAGAAGTGGTCATTTATTTTTCATTTAGATATAAACTGTCTGTTTCTCACATTCTGTTGAATACCTTGGGTAATATAGCAACAGGTTAAGTATTCCCATTTAGAGAAGGGTAGAATGAAAGACACATACCACACTGTAGACAGTAGAAATCTAGAGTTGAAATCTTTTTACATACCTCTCTTTTTAAGAAAGGTTTAAAAATATCTGCTCTGTTTGAATTTTTAGTAAACATAACAAAAATGAATTATTGAAAAAACAAAGTAAAACTCATATTACAAGAACAACTTAAAATTGTTATTGGATTTAGTAGTCACAGAATTACCATTAAATTGCTGTGGAAGCGTTTAAACTTATACCCAGTTTCTATATATTAATGTAGAAATACTAACTCTGCTTTAAGGAAATTAAAAAAAAAGTTTATTCTGAGCCAAATCTGAGTGACCATGGCCTGGGAACAGAGATTCAAGTTACCCTAAATGACATATTTTACCATGGAAAATATTACATGAACTTTTATGGACACAGAAAAGATAGTCACAAATCACTGTGTTTACAAAATGTAGAAGGAGTCATCAGGTAGATAAGCTACCACAAGGCAAGGGAATCTAGTATTTAGATGTTGTCTTTAACACATTCTTTAGCTTTAGGGTTGATGGAAGCTAGGTGTGTTCAGCTTTCTGGTTAGGTAGATTGAATGCAGAGGTAACTGTGAGTAGCTATAAAAGGGGCTAAAGGTAGCTCTTAATAATTTTGACTGTTGACTTAAAATTTTTCTATCTCACAATAATCATGTCCTACTCAGCCAAGACCAACTAGTCTGCAGGATTTTTAGTGAGATGCGGCTTTTTCAAAAACTTTGGTTCACAACAATTATTTCATTCTAGCTCAGTAATAAATAGTTCTTACTCTATATATGCCCTGGGACATATTTCTCCATGCTCTTTGGTTTTGCCTTTTGAGAGGGCCTGCCATTTTTGTTATGCTTGGACAAAGCTTAAATTGGCTTTGGAAAATACGGTGTCTTTACTTTCTTTTTGTTCTGTGACAGAGCAGTTTGATCAGTGTGCTTCCTTGACCATACAGGAATCTGGGTTTTGGGATTATTGTAGGTTTTGTACAACAAAATTGTTTTTTGTATAGCAATTTTTTTTTTGGTAGGTCATGAGGTTTGAACTCTGGGGCTTGGGTACTGTCCCTCAGCTCTTCAGCTCAAGGCAAGCGCTCTACCCTGTGAGCCACAGTGCCGCTTCTGGTTTTTTAGTGGTTTATTGGAGATGAGACTCACAGACTTTTCTGCCTAGGCTGGCTTTGAACTGTGTTCCTCAGATCTCAGCCTCCTGAGTAGCTAGGATTACAGGTGTGAGCCACCGGCGCCTGGCATAACAAAATTTTGTATGTAAAACAAAACAAAAATATTGCCTGAAAGTGACATATCTCTTACTTTCACACATATAATCTTATTTTTTAATGAGATAGAAGCTGTGGGAAAGTACTCAGATACTGACTGTATGGTTAGATCTTTTGATGTTATAAAATGCACTTTAGGCATTTTAGGGAAAAAGGATAATGTTAACCTAATGTACACTTTATTGTTAGACTAACTGAATTGTAAACCTCAAGGCAAGAGAAAATGATTTTTATGCTTGAATCTTTCAATTGTGTTTTTACCTAATTTTTATGCTTTAATTAGATTATAATTCTTTTATTTAATAATGAATATTATATAGTTAGTCTCTTAGTCTCAGGAATGTGTTCATTTTCCTCTAGAATATAAAGAAAATAGTGGGATGACTGTTTTAAACATCTCCATTCATTTAAAGTGGCTTTAAAGTAGGCTGGTTTAAAATGACCATAGTGTATAATCAATTTTAATGTCAAGGATATTTCTTAATATATCATTAAAATTACATTTTTATATGCCTCTCACAGTTCTCATTTTCCATTTCACTTTGTGTTTTTGAACACTTGACTTGAAATAAGAAATTGATGGCTGGGGCTGGGAAGGTGGCTCAGTGGTAGAGCGCTTGCCTTGCATGCGTGAGGCCCTGGGTTTGATTCCTCAGCACCATATAAGCAAAAAGAAAAAAAGCCAGAAGTGGTGCTGTGGCTCAAGTGGTAGAGCTAGCCTTGAGCTGAACAGTTGAGGGACAGGTCCCAGGCCCAGAGTTCAGGCCCCACGACTGGACCAAAAAAAAGAAAAAGAAAAAAAGAAATTGATGGCAGATTTGTTCACTGGTATAAATTAACTCATGAATGGATTTGTTAGGAAATAATGAATGAAAAGTTAGCTTATTTTTGTAGGAAAACCTGCTCACTAGAGATGTATATTATTGGAGAGGGGAAGGGATGGTATGGGGAAACAAAGGAAGAGGCAACAATGCTTGATAAGAAATGTACTCACTATCTTGCCCATGTAATTGTAACCCCTCTGTATGGTATTTTCACAATAAAAAAAGAAGTCTATTATGTGCTTAATGATCTTACCAAATGACCAGAATAGGTATCCAATGTCTTATGATTTCTCCATAAATTTTTATTCTTTTATCATTTCATTTTTTTACAGGAAAAAAGTCTACTTTTATTTTTGAGTAAATGAAATAATATTCACAGGATTTGTTTTTGCGTGTTTTGAAACAGTAATCTTGTGTTTGAAACATATGAGTCCTATGTGAAAAGTTAGAACACTTAAAATTTACACTGATACCTGTGAGTACATTGTAATATTCTACAAGCATGTTTTTTTACTATGCTAATTTTCCTAAAATACCTTCTTTTATACTTAGACAATATAGGTCATCCGTAGAAAACATCTGAAGTTGTTCAGGACAAACACTGAAAATAGCAAAAGAGAAGACAATTTCAGGGGAAATGGAAGTAAGTATACTAGGGAAGAAGAGAGGGATATGTCTAGACCAAACCTGAATTAAATAAACCTGGATTAAAATATAAATTGAGAAAGACTTAAATGTTGAAGCAGTATAAAGAAATATGTCTTTTTTCAGTACGAGGGTTAGATTCAGAGCTTTGCACTTCGTAGGTAGGCACTCTACCATTTGTGTCACACTGCCAATCTTTTTTGCTTTGTTTTATTGTTTCTTTCTTACTAAGGTTTGCCATGCCTCCTGCCCTTTTTGCTTTGGTTGTCTTTGTGATGTGAGTCTCACTTGTTATTAGACCATGATCCTCCTATTTATTCTTCCTGGAGTAGTTATTTTGGGGATAGGCTCTCATTTTTGTGCCTGGACAAGCCTGGGCCTCCATCCTCCTATTAATGCTTTTATACTTAGCTTGAATGACAGGTATATACTATGAGGATTAGCTGTTGGTTGAGATGTGGGAGTCTTGTTTTCTCCTAGGCCGGCTTTGAACCTGTTCCTCCCAATTGCTGTCTCTAGAGTAGATGACATTACAGGCATGAATCACTAACCCCTTATCTGAAATGTAAATTAAGAACGAAAAATAAAATGTAGGAAATTTAAACTAAAAAGAAAGTGAATATGGGAGACATCTCAATGATTTTAAGTACCTATTTTAGTATTTATTGCAACCAACTGGAAGATAAAATTCTCAGTTAAAAGATCAGTTGGCATTTGAGAATTAATATTGAAATTAAGAAAATAACAGCTTTGCTGGGTGCTAGTGGCTTATGCCTATAATTCTTAGGAGGCTGAGATATGAGGATCATGGTTCAAAGCTAGCTTAGGCAGGAAAGTCTGTGAGACTCCTATCTCCAGTTATCCATCAGAAAACTTTGAGCTGTGGCTCAAAGTAGTAGAGTGCTAACCTTCAGCCAAAAAGCTCAGGGACAGTGCCCAAGCCCTGAGTTCAAGCCCCACTACTGACCAAAACAAAACAAAATAAAAGAAAGAGAAAATAAAATAGCAGCTTAACATACTTCTATAAATACCTTTGAAATTTAAGATACCTAGTTATGTATTTTCCAGAAGTTTATTTCTTTCACAATTATAAAAAACAAATAAGATTGTTCTGGAAGGTAGTTTAGTGATAGAACATTTGTCTATCATACATGAAATCCTGTTTTCAGTCCCCAGCACCGCAGAAAACGAAATCAATAGCATTAGCTGGACATGACGACATACAAGTCGGAAATCTCAACTACTTCAAAGGCAGAGCCAGAAGCATCAGAGTCTTTGGCCAGCCTCTATGAAAAACAAACTGAAGAAAGCAAAATGGGCTGAGGACAAGGTTCAAGTGAAAGTGCTTGACTAAGTACAGGCTTTAAATTCAGTCCTAGGACTACAAAAATAACCCTTGAAACACCAATAGTATTATCCAATAATAAACCAATGTCATTACATGTCATTTTTTTTTACTCTCAGATTTTTACTATGAGGAAATAGGAAACTTCTAGCAAAGTTAAACAGTATGAATAACAACTTTTTTTTTTTGTAGATTTAACTTCGTTCATTTAACAAATTCCATTTAACAAAACTGCTGAAAACCTACCTGTGCCAGGTGTTGTCAGAGGCAATAGAAGACAGCAGTGAACAGAAGAGGCAACAGCTCCTGCTAATATACAGCTGCAGCACGTGATGTCTTCTGGCTTCAGTGTTTTTAGAGTTGACATCTCTTTTGTCATAATGTGCATTTTTTATAAGTCAACTGAAGATTCTCTGCCAGAAGTGAGTTCTCAGAATTATTTCAGTACATTGCAACCAGGAAAAGCCTCCTTAGCTTATTTTTGTCAAACTGGTAAGTTTTAAGATTCTAAAATTACTCTTGTGGTATTTATGTTACTGTTTAGTGTGCTCAGTGGGGCGTTGCTGTCAGGAGTAATGGCATGTATGATAAAACTTTTGTTACACTATGCCTGCCTGCATGGTGGGACCTATGTGGGACCTTAGTTTCACATTACTTAGCTTCTCCCTGTGTTTCTTCCATCATCTATTATAAGGAAAAAGTATTTGCTAAATTTATTGTGAGGGCTAAATAAGATACTCATATGCTTAGTTCATAGTAAATACTAGTTAAGAATTGGTTATTGCTATATAACATGTCAATTTCATCTGATCATTTCTTTTTTTTTTTTTTTTTTGTCAATCATGGGACTTGAACTCTGGGTTTGGGCGCTATCTCTGAGCTCTTTAGCTCAAGGCTAGCTCTCTACCACTTGAGCCACAGTGCTACTTCTTGCTTTTTCTATTTATGTGATGCTGAAGAATTGAACCCAGGGCCTCACTCTTGCAAAGCAAGCACTCTACCACTGAGCCACCTTCCTAGCCCCTTATCTGATCATTTCTGAGAGTATGCTTTTCATGCTTTCAGCGTGTCAATATTTTAGAAACTTTAAAAATACAAAATAGATCAGTAATACTCTACTTTAGCTGTATCATTCATTATACTGGATTAGCTAACATAGCTATTGAACATAACAAATAATTGTAATGAACTCCTTGGCTTCATGGTTTAAAAGTGCTATTCTCTTATTAGAAGTAGTAAATTAAGTAAGTCCATGTTTATATTGCTTTTCTCTTAAATGTGAAAAAAATAAAGATTTGGACATTTTTATCATATAGTTGTTAAATAGGAGTGTGTGTGTATGTGTATGTGTGTGTGTGGTGTGTGTTAATCCTGGGGCTTGAACTCAGGTCTTGAGCACTGCCCCTGAACTTTGTCACTCAAGGCTAGCACTCTACTACTTGAGCCATAGCTCCACTAGTGGTTTTTTGGTAGTTAATTGGAAATAAGAGTATCATGTACTTTTTAAAAAAAATCAGTTGTGGGGCTTAAACTCTGGGCTTGGGCACTGTCCCTGAGCTCTTTAGCTCAAGGTGAGCACTCTACCACTTGAGCCACAACGCCACTTCGGGTTTTCTGGTGGTTAATTGCAGATAAGTGTCTCACCAACTTTCCTGCCTGGACTGGCTTTGAACCACAATCCTTAGATCTAAGCCTCTTGAGTAGCTAGGATTACAGGCATGAGCCACCAGCAACTGGCTTAGCACTCTAGTATTTGAGCCATAGCTCCACTTCTGGTTTTTTGGTGGTTATTTAGAAATAAGAGTATCATGGACTTTCTTGCCCAGACTGGCTTCAACTGCGATCCTCAGATCTTTACCTCCTGAGTAGCTAGGATTACATCATCTGCAAAAATTTTAAGGTCATTTATAAAGTTATATAAATGATAAAAAATACTAGAAATAATAATAAGGCAATATGGAAATAAGGGTATTAAAATATGTAACTGGGACATAGCTAGCAAGAAAAATAGAAAGCCCACAGAAGATCTTTACTAGCTATACAACAGACAAAGGTCTCATATTAAAAATAAACCTAAGGCTCAAAAATTACCCCCCCATTACAAATCTCCAAAGAAACAACCACTCCATTAATAAGTGGGCTGAAAAATTCAAAAGAGACTTCTCTGGAGAGGAAATAAGAATGGCCAATAGACACATGAGGAAATGCTCAACATCGCTGGCTATAAAAGAAATGCAAATCAAAACCACATTGAGATTTCACCTCACCCTAGTTAGAATAGCCATTATCAAGAAAACAAATAATAACAGATGCTGACGGGGATGTGGCCAAAAGGGAATGCTACTACACTGTTGGTGGGAATGTAAGATGGTTCAAGCACTCTGGAAGGCTTCCTCAAAAGCCTTTGAGGAGGCCTCAAAGGAGGTTCCTCAAAAGATTAAACATAAAACACCCCTATGATTTAGCAGTCCCACTCCTGGGCATTTATCCAAATGATCACAAGCTAGGCCACACTAAAGCCACCAGCACAACTATGTTCATTTCAGCATTATCATTGCAGCATTATTTACTATAGCTAAGATATGGAACCAACCCAGATGCTCCTCAATAGATGAATGGATCAAGAAAATGTGATATATACATACAATCGATTTTTATACTGACATCACCCCTTTTGTAAGGAAATGGAAAGACATGGAAAAAAATCGTATTAAGTGAAATAATCCAGATCCAAAGAACATAGGCTCTATGGTTTCCCTCATTTGTAATAGAGTATTTCTAGGATAGTCCTGGCAGAGAATCATAATAGCTCATAGCTGTGTACATATGATCATACAAAATGACGCTAATTGAAATGAACTCCAAGTCATGGAAACAACAGGTCTGTTCTTTTTTGGTTGTTGACCTTGTTGTTGCCAATGTACTATATCTAGTTCTTGCTTATTTTATTTCATTTTTCTTTTTCCATTTGTTTGTCTCTGTCTTTGATTCTGGTACCCTCCAACTTGTTTATACATTTATCTGATTTGGGGAAGGGAAAGGGAATAAGAAAATGCTGACAGAAGGACAAAGGATGACCCATTGCAACAAAAAATACAAGACACTATGTTGGAAATGAACTTTATAACATCTGGCGGGGGGGGGGGGGGCAGGGAGGGTAACAATGGGTAACAATGTTCGACAAGAAATGTACTCATTACCTTACTCATGTAACAGTAACCCCTCTGTACAGCATTTTTACAAAAATAAAAAAATTTAAAAATAAATGTAACTATATATGTATATATGTATATTCGCTGTTGAAGGCTAGACAAATTTATTTTTTGCAGGTTTTGACTTTAATATTTAAAATTCATCTTTTTAAAGGAGCAATTCATAAATGTTCATGAAACATTTTTTGTTTTAGATTCTCCGAGTACCTCAGTATTTCTTGAACAACTGAATGAGGCTGTTAGCCCTCTCCAGGACTATGGGATTTCAGTTGCAAAGGTAAAAAGAAATTTATGTTGCTAAAATATTAACAAACATAACTACAAGAATGAGTAGCTAAAAATACTTTCATATCTTTTTCCTGACAGGAAGAATATTTCTTCCTCTTTTTTGGGGGGAGGGTAAATGGTAGGGAGTACTTGCGTGTGAACTAGGGTCTCTGTGCTTGCTAAACAGACATTTTACCACTTAAGTCATATCAACAGCCTTTTGGGCTTTAGTTATTCACAGATAGTTTCTCATACTTTTGCCCATGGCCATCCTTGGGTCATAATACTCCTGCTTCTGCTTCCTGTTTACCTGGGACAAAAGTGCATGATACCATACCTGATTTCCATGTTTAGATATGGTCTGATTAACTTTTTGCCTGGGTTGGCATTAGCTCTATACCACCCTCCTTTTTGTCTTTTTTTTAAACATAAGAATAAAAAGAAGCATAGAAAGTTAGTTTCAGAATTTTTTTTATAATACAGCACTTACAGAGCAAAGGAAACTAATTTTTTATTTTATTTTATTTTATTTTAATTTAATTTAATTTTATTTGTGAACATACTGTACAGAGGGGTTACAATTACATGGGCAGGATAATGCGTACATTTCTTACCAAGCATTGCAGCCTCCTCCTTTGGTTTACCCTTCACATCCCTTCCCAGCCTCCCCCCTCCCCGCCAATCCCAATCCTTCTCCTCCCCCCCCCCCCCCCCCCCCCCACCGACGTTGTAAAGCTCATTTTGGACATGACAACTTGTACTTCTCATTGTTGCAACAGGTCCACCTGTATCCTTAAACAACTGGTTTTTCCCCATCTCCTCCACAAGTTATACTGATATCAAATATAGTGAAAGCAGGGGTTATACTGTGGGGGAGGGACATACAAAGCAACAAAGAGATAATCTTATAAATGCGTTAGAAACACATGCATGAAAGAAACAAAAACATTAAAATACATATCTAAGGGTTCATTTTCCTGACATCACATTATCTGACGTTTTCCGCTTGACTCATACATATACTAGATATTGCAAATAAGGGAAACCATGGGACCTATGTTTCTTTGGGCCTGGCTTACTTCACTTAATATAATTTTTTCCAAGTTTTTCCATTTCCTAACAAATGGGGCAATGTCATTCTTTCTGATGGAGGCATAGAATTCCATTGTGTATATATACCACATTTTCTTGATCCATTCATCTACTGAGGGGCATCTGGGTTGGTTCCATATCTTAGCTCTGGTAAATAGTGCTGCAATAAACATTGTTGTGCTGGTAGCTTTAGTGTGGTCTTGTTTGTGATCATTTGGGTAAATGCCCAAAAGTGGGATTGCTGGGTCATAGGGGAGTTCTATGTGAAGTCTTTTGAGGAACCTCCATACTGCTTTCCAAAGTGGTTGAACAAGTTTACATTCCCACCAACAATGAAGTAAGGTTACTTTCTGTCCACATCCCATCCAGCATCTGTTGTTGTTAGAGTTCTTGATTTTTGCCGTTCTAACTGGGGTGAGGTGATATCTCAATGTTGTTTTGATTTGCATTTCTTTTATGGCTAGGGATGTTGAACATTTCTTCATGTGTCTATTGGCCATCCTTCTTTCTTCTTCAGAGAAAGGAAACTAATTTTTTAATAATTGACCTTGATTTCCTAAACTAGTCTATTAGGTATATCATTTTTCAAAACTGTACTTAGTTTTTAATTCTGTTTTGTTTTGTCTGACAAATATTTCATAGTAGCAACAATTAAACTACTTGCTAAATTTTCATTAGTACCAACTGAGGCAACAAAATTATATAATTGAGGAGCTGGGAAGGTGGCTCAGTGGTAGAGCGCTTGCCTTGCATGTCAGAGGTCCTGGGTTCGATTCCTCAGCACCACATAAGCAAAAAGAAAAAAAGCCGGAAGTGGCGCTGTGGCTCAAGTGGTAGAGTGCTAGCCTTGAGCTAAAGAGCTGAGGGACAGCGCCCAGACCCAGAGTTCAGGCCCCACGACCGGATACTCCCTCCCCCCCCCCAAAAAAAAATAATATAATTGAAGAATTTTTGTTTTTTCATTTTTCTAAGTCTTTATAAATTTTTCATTGTGGTTTCTCACATCTAAATTGTTATAATTGATTTGTGGGCCCTTTAGCTTTTTTGCTCAATGCTAGCATTTTACCACTTGAGCCACACCTCTATTTTTGGCTTTTTGGTGGTTTATTGCAGATAAAAGTCTCATGGACTATCCTGCCTAGGCTAGCTTTAACTGTGATCCTTAGATCTCAGCCTCCCAAGTCGCTAGGATTGCAAGAATGAACTGCTGGTGCCAAGCTTTATAATTGTTATTGTAATGACTAACATTTTTTTTTAGAACAAAATAAAAACAACTTAATTTCATAGTATATCATTTTTTTCTTAAAATGTTCAAGTTTGCCATGGAGTAGTTTTCCTTTAAATTTATAATCTGAAACTCAGAAAAATGAGTGAAATAATCCAATAACATTAATTTCTTTTTAATTAATATCTACCTGACTTTTGCATTACCTATTCTTTCTTAGTTCATTTGTCTTCTTTATCTCAGTTATACCTGTTATTTTTTTTAGTCTGTACAAGTAGACTGCCTAAAGCAGGAAGCATAGAAATGTTAGCTAACCTTGTCTATATACTTTTAGAAACAAAAAGTAAACAGTTTCGTGTGTTAATTCTGTGTGTATAGAAGTTTCAGTTAACTTTGAGCAACTGAGTCCATTCCAAAATGATAACAGCACTAATCTTCTTCTAGGAGCTTTGAATAAAAAATGTAAAGTGAAATTTCTAAATGCAATAGGAACTTGATATGAAACCTAATAAGGGTAATCACTGTTTATCTAGTAACTAGGAGATGAGTTCCTAGTATTATATATTTAGTAACTGGATAGTAATATTAAAGTTTGTGTCCAGGCTGTTGCTGTTATTAACTAACGTAACTTAAACTCTTGGTTTTATGTTGAGTACACTGAGACAGTGGAAAAGAGACAGTGGTGCCTAAGAACTTAGGAGAGAGTAAATATTTGTGAGATTGAAATGAGCTTGCTGTATTTAGTCTTCTTTTGGGTAGAGATATGACTAGTCCTTTTCTTTTTCTTTTTCCTTTTTTTTTGTCTGTCATGGGCCTGAACGCTGGGCCTGGGCGCTATCCCTCAGCTCTTCAGCTCAAGTCTAGTGCTCTACCACTTGAGCCACAGCGCCACTCCTGGCTTTTTCTGCTCATGTGATGCTGAGGAATTGAACCCAGGGCCTCATGCATGCAAGGCAAGCACTCTACCACTGAGCCACCTTCCCAGCCCTGACTAGTCCTTTTCTTTGGAAAAGATATATCTTAAATAGGGAAGATGAAATACATCTACAAATCATTTTAATGGATAGAAAAACGAGCATTCCCATAAGAGAGATACACATAAAGTACCATGGACTTTCAAAACAAAGCCTGTTGAAGTGGAAATCACAGATGGTATTTGGTAACACCTCAAGAAGAGAAGTGTTTGAGAAATGCAGAGGTGGATGAAGAAAACACTATAAAAATATAGAGAGAATCTATTCTATATGTATCTAGAAAAATATAAATAGACTAAATGTCCAGTTAAGACAAGGTTGTCAAGCTGGAGACAATAACCATATCCTGTAGTATGCTATTTAGAAATGTGTCTAAAATACAAGCTGCAGAAATCTTCAAAGGAAGGAAAAAATATATTATACAAATGGTAACCAAAAGAAATGTAGTGTAGCTATGTGACTGTATCGAAGTAGATTTTGAAACAAGGTACTATTCAGTCATACTCACATTTTTTCTTAAAACCAGACCATCTATTAACTAGATTCTACCATTAAGACTTTCCAGCCTGACAACTTCCTGTATCCTCCTTATCATCACTTCTTGTCTGGGAAACCATAGTAGTCTTCTAATAGTTGGGACTTAGACCTTTCACTATTGTCCCAATATAAATTCTTCCTCATATGTAATCAGATGTGTCAGGACACATTACTACTGCTAAAAAAGGCTTATCATAATTATGGTAAAATTAAAACTCCTGAGTATTATGAAGGCTGGGACTGACTCAGACCTCATTTTTCAACCTTTTACTTTGCCTGGCTTGTTTTTTGATATATACTGGCCATCTCTCTGTTACTTGAGCCTGCTAGAGGTGCTGTCACCATTGAGGGTTTGCACGTATTTCTCCCTCTGCTTAGAACTCATCTACCTATCTCTATCTTATCTATCTTATCTATCTATCTATCTATCTATCTATCTATCTATCTATCTATCTATCTATCTATCTATCTATCTATCTATCTATCTATCATCTATTCTGTTCTTTGTACCAATGTCACCTTTTCAAAGGAGCCTTCTTTGATTATCTAAACTGCCCTCCCTAAATGTTCTCCTTATTGTTTTTTATGTATAGTACTTCACATTATACATTAAGCAATTTTTTAATTGCCTCTACATTTAGCACATACATTCAAAAGATAAAGATTTTTATGTGCGGCTTAACTATTTCCAGTGACTAAAACAGTGATAACATGGTAGGTGTTTAGATGTATGTGTAATGGATGAATGACTGTATACATCTGTGATTAAAATGTCCATGCACATACCCATGTGCACAAATATTCACTTTTTGGTCATGGCTATATTCAGACTTTTAATTCAAATTCTCTATTCCTGATATCTTTTCTGAGTGTCATTTCCCCCTTTTGTAGCTTTTAAAACAAATGTTACTTCCCCAGCTGTCACTGTTTCCTCAAATTCTACTAAGTCGAACAATGAAAATCTTAAAGAAAATGAAAACCTAACCAAATTTATAGCTATTTTCCTAGCTTTATTTTGGTTATGTTGGTAGCAATTCATTTGCTCTACCTAGAAATCTGCATTGTTTATCTCTTTCTTCTCTCCCTCTGTCTCATGATTCATATGCATAATTTTCTCCCTACGTGTATTTATTTTATTAGTGAAGAATCTCTTGAGGGTTTTTTAAGTTGTTGTTATTGTCCTTTTTGTCTTTTCTTCAGGTTCCAATCATTACTGACCTGTAGTGTACTCAACCCTTATCTTTGCATTCTCTCACATTTCATTTTGTCTGCATGAACTTTTCGTATAAAGCCCAGATTCTGAACTCTAGGGCTGGTGTGGCTGCTCTAACACCATCATACACTCAGCTTCATTTTCTCTGTTGCACCATTTTTAACAAGTAGGTTTTCCTTGTTTATTTATTATGCTCTTGTGGTCCATAATTGCCACTGGTACTCTACTGGTCATGTTGGCTTTTTATCAAGAAATGGTGAAGCTTCTCTGCTTGGGGAGGGGAAAGGAAAAAACAAAATGCTTAAATAGGTTGACCCATTGTAACAATGAGATGTATAAAATGAGATGTTGAAAAATGAACTTTACAATTTAGGCGGGGACGGGGGAGGGAAGAGAAGGGGAGTGTAGCTGTAGAGGTAAGGAGGGAAGGGAGGGTAGGGGAAAAACAAAGGAAGAGGTAATAATGCTTGATAGGAAATGTACTCATTACCTTGCTCATGTAACTGTAACCCCTCTGTACAGTATTTTTACAAAAAAAAAAAAGGATTAAAAAAAAAAGAAGTGGTGAAGAACAAGAGTATCAGCCATCCTTGTTTTTAGAATTGTCTTAAGAATCCCACCCCAGTAACTTCTCCTAACTCTGGCTATCTTGAGCTGTTTATGAGGTTGGAAAAACCTTTTAATGAGGCATTTGCTTTTAGCAAATGTATGTAGAGTAGAAAGCCAGAAGTATCTGCCACACCTGTGTACAGATACTTTGATATTAGGAAACTTCCCACTCAGTTTTTTGTGCTTTCTGGCTGATTTCTCCCTCCCTCCCTCCCTTCCTCCTTCTTTCCTTCCTTCCTTCCTTCCTTCCTTCCCTTCCCTCTTTCCCTTCCTTTCTTCCTTCCCTCCCTCCCTCCCTCTCTCCCTCCCTCCCTCCCCCCCCCTCCCTCCCTTCTTTCTTTCTTTCCTTTCTCCCCCCCCTCCCCGCTGGGGATTGAACCATGGTCACATTTTGTGCTGAGCATTCACGAGCTCTACCCTAAGTAATCTGCTCCCTCTCCTTCAGCCTGATTTCTGGAATTTCTGCCTACTTTTATGTCTTGCTTTCAATACATCCTTCCTTTTCAACCTCTTATTTTATTTGCAAGACTGAATTAAATGTAAACTGTTAGGTTTAATTAAATTATCAGTTCATGGTATTGAAGCAGTTCCTTTCTGTGAGTTTTCTCACGCACTTGAATTAGTGAACAGTGAGAGTATATACATCAGACAAAAAGTAAAATTCAAACTTTGGCCTGAGGTTAGAGAGTAATGTTGAATTCTCCTTATTTTCCTAACCAAGTAACTTGACCTTTTGTGTATAACCAGAATATTCAATGTAATCTTTTATAGGTTAATTGTGTCAAAGAAGAAACATCAAAATATTGTGGAAATGAAAAGTATTTGATGAAAGCGTATTTATTCAGGTAAATTTTTCTTAGTGTTACATAAAGCTATAGTAGCTAGAATATTCTATATGTAAAATTTCATTAAGCAAGGAAAAAAGTCATACTTAATGATGATCATAGGAAGCTTGGCAAAATGTTCAAGTATTAGATTCATTGCCTAACCTCTGAACTTTAACTTCTTTATTTTCAAAAAAAATGTAAAAAGTAATACCTACCACACAGGGTTGTTTTGTATATTACACAAGATTCTTACATAAATTCCTGATGCAACCGTTTTGCCAATAGGCTCTTAGCAATTTTATTGTTCTTTGTTGCTTTATCAGTTGCATATTTAGGAGTACTTTTTTTTTTGAGGGACCCACCAGGGTTTTGATCGCAGATTCCACTTGGGTCTGTTAATCTTCCTGAGGTGTCTCATATTCTTTATTCAACCCCTTAATATTTGGCCTAGGAATTGGGGAGATATCCTGTTTGCTCAGGAAATTCCTCCTAAGGACACTCTCTTCTTGGTCATCTTCTCACCCTAACTTAGGAATCCATATGTTTATGATGGGGAACTTGTTAGGAAAACTTTATTACAGCTCCTTTGTTTTATATTCAAATCTTTTTTCAGGTCCAGGGCCTATGCTTTTATAAAAAGTACCGTATCTATTGTGTATATACACACACACACATATATATATATATATATATATATTTTAATGAATATTTGAATAATGTATTATGTGCTAGCACTCTGGTAGATATATGGGCACATGGATAAGACACTGACTCTAACATCAAAGAACTTACAACCTACTATAGTAGACAAATCAATTAATTCCAAGGCAACATTTTACAATGTGTTTGTCAACTTTTTATAGGGGCAACGTACTGCTTAGAGAATTCCCTACTGACAGCTTGTTTGATGTGAATGCTATTGTCGCCCATGTTCTCTTGTAAGTACAAAGGCTATTCATTCACTTATTTGGTGTTGATTTATTTTAGACAACCAGAACTCATTGACATATCTTGGGATTTTGATTTTATATTTATAGATGTCAATTTTACACAAATTGCTAGCTTATCTTCCCATATCACGGATCTAAAATTTCTTTAATGACAGAAGATACAAGACTATGTAGATTCTCCCATATAAGAGTAGGAGATGGCCACAGTATAACCCCTGCTTTCACTGTATTTGATGTCAGTATAATTTGTGGAGGGGAAGGGGAAAAACAAATCGTTTAAATAGGGATACAGGTGGACCCATTGCAACGATGAGATGTACAAGTTGTTATGTCGAAAACGACCTTTACAACTTTGGTGGGGGGGGGATTGTGGGGGGGGGGGGGAGGATGGGAAGGGATGGGAAGGGAAAACAAAGGAGGAGGCTACAATGCTTGATAAGAAATGTACTCATTATCTTGCCCATGTAATTGTAACCCCTCTGTACAGTATTTTCACAATAAAAAAATAAATAAAAGAAAAAAAAGAAAGAAAAAAAGAGTAGGAGATGGCTCAAAAAGACTTCATGGGCCCGGTGCCAGTGCCTCACACCTGTAATACTGCCTCCTCAGGAGGCTGAGATCTGAGGATCGTGGTTCAAAGCCAGCCTGCAAGAAAGTCTGTGAGATTCTTACCTCCAATAAACCACTAGAAAACTGGAAGTGGCGCTGTGGCTCAAGTGGTAGAATGCTAGCCTTGAGCTGAAGATCTGAGGGACAGCACACAGGCCCAGATTTCAAGCCCCATGCCAAAAACAAAACAAACAAAAAACAAAAACAGAAAACTACAATAGTCATACAGTTGCTTTTGATTCTGTCAGTAGAGTGAGGATTTGCCAGATGTCTTAGTTTGTTGAAGTTGACATTACAAAATACCATAGATTAGGTGAGTAATAAACACTACAGATTTATTTTTCAGAGTTTTGGAGACTGGGAAGTCCAAGGTCAAAGTGTTGACAGATTTGGTATCAGATGAGGGTGCCATCTTCTTCCTGAGTCCCCCAAGACAAAAAAAGTCAGAATCTCTGAATTCTCTTTTATGAGAGTACTAGGCTCATCCATAAAGGTTTTTCCCATATGACTTAATCACTTTCAAAAGTTCTATCTTCTATTGCTGTACCAATGCTGATTTACAAAACTCAGATTCCACAAATAGACTGTTTACTTTGTTCTTGATATGTGCCAGATACTTGTCAGACATTGAGGATATATCACAGACCAAGAAGTAGGTTGAGAGATTTAATGTTTTAGAGAGATCTAGTATTTTGTTGCAGAGATAAAGCACAGAAACAAAAAATATTATGCATTAAAGAAATAGTAGAAGTGAGGCTGGGAAGGTGGCTCAGTGGTAGAGTGCTTGCTTTGCAAGCATGAGGCCCTCGGTTTGATTCCTCAGCACCACATAAGCAGAAAAAGCCGGAAGTGGGGCTGAGGCTCAAGTGGTAGAGCGCTAGTCTACAGCTGAAGAGCTGAGGGACAGCGCCCAGGCCCAGAATTGAGGCCCTATGACTGACAAAAAAAAAATAGTAGAAGCATGTATTCAGAAGGGCAAATGGATCCATAGAGAACTTTCTAGTTACCCATGTCTAGAAAGGAAGTGTTTATTAAGAGTGCTTCCTGGAGAAGGTATTAGTTTGCATAAATCTTAAAGGATAACTACTGGGTGAAGAAGGGGAACTGGAGTCCAGGCTCCTGTGGAAACCATGGCATGGCCATTGTATAATCTAGGGGAGCTAGGGACAGCCAAGAGGGGATTTCAATGCTTAGGTAAAACGAACTGGGTTTGGCAATAGGTAATTTGATAATAGCAAAGCTACCACTGTGAGTTAATATTTTGTTTCTTCCTCCCTCCTCACACTACACAATGCCACAGTGTGCATTCTCTGCACTGGCCTAATTAACACTGTTACTGTGGCTACCTATGGAGCTGGGTCTCACTGCCACTGCTCCTCACGATTACTTTGTTCTGTTTCTGGTTCTTCACATTACTTGCTCTGGTTCTTCACATCACTTGCTCAAGGCAAGTGATTCCTGATTATTTAACTAGAAAAAAAACTAGCCTGAAGATATGGTTCAAGTATTAGAGTGCCTAGCAAGAATGAGGCCCTGAGTTTAAACTCTAGTCCCACCAAAACAACAACAACAACAAAATACACATATAGTATGCGCATAAGGATTAAGTGGAATGAATTGTTAATGTCAGAAGATTTATGGAGAAGCAGACAAAAGGGATAATTTTAGATGAGGAAATATGATCAGTTAGTTTGACTTGTACATTGAAGAGATGATTTAGAAGAACTGTGATCAAGTGGAAATATTACTGGAATAGGATAATAATGCTTATTTTGTGCTATTTCTAGTGCTTGAGTCAATAAACATGACCAAGCTCTTCAGTATTTTAAACTTCCATTATTTTACAATAATTCCTGCCTACCTTATCTTTTGTTCATTCAATACATTTGATTTTCTACTATGTTTTAAACTCTGTTTTAAATTATTACAGATTTCGCGGTAAACCATGAGGTCCTTGTCTTAAAGAGATTGCAGTTTAGTGAGCAAGTCAGAGGAAAACAAGAAAGAGATATATCTTGAGTGTGGTATACATAAAAAACAGAAGGGAAAAATGAGGCTGGAAAGACAGATGATATTTAGGTCATGTGGTGCTTTAGGTACTGTGAAAAGTACAAGTCATTATGTGAAAATGAACTTTACAACTTTGGTGGAGGGGTGGGGGGGTGGGGGTAGAGGGATTGGGGGGGTGGGGGGTAGTGGAGGTGGGGGGTTGGGAGGATTCGGTGGGGGGGGCGGGGTGAGGATGGGAAGGGATGGGAAGGGGAAACAAAGGAGGAGGCTACAATGCTTGATAAGAAATGTACTCATTACCTTGCCCATGTAATTGTAACAGTACAGTATTTTCACAATAAAAAAAAGAAAAGTACTCTACAATATTGAGATATCAAGGGCTCCTACATGTTTCAGTCTGAGAGAACTATCTGTAAAGAATTATTTGTCCAGACCAGAGTGGATTACAACTTAAGATAGCGAATGAACACAAATGCCTTGGCTGATGTTCTCAGGGCAGACTGCTGGCCTGAAGACTGATTTTTAATACAGTGTTACTAAAATGCTTAACTTCCTATTACTGGTAATTTGATTAGGCTTCTTTAACCAAAATATGTATGTATTAACTAAGTACAAGTCATATTCTTCTAATAATTTTATCTATATTTCTTTTAGTGCTCTTCTTTTTAATGAAGTGAAATATATTACCACTCCAGAAGACCTTCAGAATATAGAAAATACTCTGAAAGGAAAAGCAAACATGATTTTCTCATATGTAAGAGCCATTGGAACACCAGGTAGTACATTTTTTTTCTGTAGCCTCTGCTGTGCCTGAGTACCTGTGTATGTTAAATGCTTCAAATAGTATAGTCATAACTTAAATATTTTACACAATAAATTAAAACCATCCTTACTGTTATGCTATCTTTCTTTAAACTGGCAGACAGATGTAGTAGAACTCTGGACCCATGCTACCTAGGTTAAACTCCTGCCCCACCAAGATAAGTCACTCAGAAGTGACCTGAGATTTGTTATGTATTTGCATTCCTACAATAAATGTTTCAGCTAAAATTACTCCTAGATATATATTGGCAGCTATTATAAACATGGTATTAATAAGCCATGTGCTTGCTAGAAAATGTTTGCTCTGAAGGCTTTTAAGAAGATGGAAAAGCCTGTATCCAAATTAATGCTTCATTTTTCCCTCATATTTTGATCATTAAAATCTCATCAGATTTTCTAATCACGTTGGCATTTTTATTGCCTGTAAGTAGGAACGACTTTGATTAACTTTGCTGACAGAGGTGTTTGGATATAAGCTCACCTTCTGTGCTGCTTTATTATGAGGTTAGTCCCCTTTTATACTTGATAAACTTCTGGGATTTATATTTCTGAGGGGTATATATGGTTTGTTCTGGGGGTAAGGAGGCAGGGAAGAGCAGGTGTGTCTGGAAATAGCCTCTCTCTGCCCTGGTTTCACTGTTACTTGCCAACCAGTCAAAACTGAGCTTTAGGAAGGGCCAGTTTTGGGATGTGGAGTATTTTGGTCTTCTCAACCTCACTTCTGAAACATCCTGAGGGAGAACCTCTTCATCTATTTCACTTTCTTCCAAGCAGTGTGTATTTCCTTTGGGTAAAGAACTCTGGCAGATGAGTAGGCATTGCATTCTGTCTGACACCAGAGTGATGGCTACAGGAGCCATCTGGATAATAGATGATTTTGGAAGGGCACACATGCTTGCTATTAGACATGTTCTTCCTGGTGCATAACTGATGAACCTCATGCTGTCAGAGAAGCAGAGAGTTTTCCTTTGCTTCCAAAGGGAACCTTTGTTAGTGCAATGAAGAACTCTGAGCTCTGGAGATCCATTTTAGGTTTCTGTAAGGAGGCTGGAGAGTCTGAAGCAGCAAATGTGGAGTAGAGCCCAGAAATCCTTACTTTTTAAGTTAGCACCAGGTGATTTCTATATTGAGCTAAGTTTGGGAAACATTAAATGCAACTGTTTCTTAAGATCTTGTTCAGGACACTTACAAACCTGTACATTCTACTTTTGGAAAAGGAGCTATTCAGAGCTTGATGCAGAGCAAAGCATGCTTCATGCTCTTCTGAGCAATCAGTCAGCAGGGAATTTTCTATTCTTTCTGTATCCTGTCCAGATTTACCCAGCAGCTTTTCTAACTCTAGCAGGCCACACAACAGGGGTGGGGGTAAGGTAGTTACTAATGTGGTGATGTCTGAAGTAAAGGAACCAGGCCTTGCAAAAGGTAAAATGTTCATCATCTTTCATTTCAAACAAATGCTGCCTTAGTGACATAGGCACACAGTAACCTTTAGTGTCAAAAAGATTCCACAGTACAGGAACATTTCCAGATTTTTCAGTGGGGCTTTTTAGGTTTCAAGGAAATCCATATATTCAAGTTCCATCAGCTTCTTTTTCTCCAAGAGAGTATAGCTACTTTTTCCATGAAGATGGGGTTTGGGGTTAGGGACATGGTCATTGGTGGAGCATATGTCTAGCATGTGGGAGGCCTTGGATTCAGTCCATAGTGGGGAGGGATTATATTGCTGAAGATGGGACTTTGAGGACAGAGTAGGAGAGTGTGTTAAGTAATGCTAAAGTAACAACTGCTAAGATAAGTACTTAGCAATCTGAAGGCTTCTAGTGACTTTGACAAATGTAGATTCTATAGAGTGACAGAAGTACCTGAGGATAGGTGTAGGACAGAATAATAGAGAGCAATTGGAGGCAGGAATATAGAGAACTGTGTGAGAGAAGTTTTGCTATTAAGGAAGGGAGAAAAAAAATGGACCAGTGGCTAGAAGAACGATCAAGAGAAGACTTTTCCTTCTTTTGGTGGTGCTGGTGTCTGATGCTTTATAGGCAGGTGCTGTACCACTTGAGCCATGCTTTCTACTTTTTTTGATTTGGTTATTTTTCAGATAAACATTTGCATTTTTTTCCAGGCTAGCCTAGACTTTGTCTCTTTTTTGTGTATATGCCAGTACTGGGTCTTGAACTCATGGCCTTGAGATCTCACTCACAGCTGGCACTCTACCACTTGAACTACACCTCCAGTTCTGGCTTTTTGCTGGTTAATTGGATATAAGAATCTCTCATATGTCTGCCTGAGCTAGACCTTAGACTCCTGGTAGCTAGAATTATAAGATTTTATATATATATATGTATATGTTTATACATATATATATATGTGTGTATATATATGTCACTAGTGCTTGGTTGGGTTCTCCTAAGTCTTCCACATATTTGGGATGACAGATATATACCACGATGCTCTGGCTATTGGTTGAGATGAGGTCCTGCTAACTTTTTGCCTGAGCTGATCTCTAACTCAGGCTCCCAAGTAGCTAGGACTGTAGGTATGAGCCACCATACCCAGTAGGAGAAGGATGTTTTAAGAACCTCCCTTGTATATTGAAGAATGATCTAATAGAATAGAGGCAATGCATGTATAGGAAAGGGTGGGAGAACTACTGGACTAAGGTCCTTGAGTATACAAAAGAGGCTTCATGTTTCTGTGATGGGAACAAAGAACATTCATCCATGCTAACAGGGTGGATGTCAATTCAGGTATGCGTATAGGTCCATATGATTTGGAAGGTTATGGAAGAATTTTTGTATTTTCAGTGAAGTAAAGTCATATATTGAAATAGAAATGAGATCTCAGTTTGAGAAATTAAGAGATAATATAGGCTTGGAAATAAAAAATGGTTTCTAGGCAGCAATAGTAGTTGATATTAATAATTTAAAGTGAGACCATTGGCTAACAGGTTTTGTCTTTTCCTTTTTTTCCCCTGAAGTCAAGTTGGTTTTTGAGGGTATAGGTACAGAATAGGTAGAGTATTGGACTGAACCCTGATTACATTTTAGTCAAATAGGCAGGGGAATGGTTATGAAATGGTTATGAGATTGAAGGTTGATTAGAAGGGAAGAGAAACCAGAGTGTCTTGGAAAAAGACATGGAAAGAAACCATGAGACTTGGAGTTAGCATAGCAGTGAGTGAAGGCAGGCTTGAAGAGAATAGAGAAGGCGAAGCACTGAGAGGCTAGTATTTTGGATTTCTTTTTTTTTTTTTTTTTTTTTTTTCTTTTTTGGGTCCGGTCATGGGGCCCGGACTCTGGGCCTGGGCACTGTCCCTCAGCTCTTCAGCTCAAGGCTAGCGCTCTACCACCTGAGCCACAGCGCCACTTCTGGCTTTTTTTTTCTTTTTGCTTATGTGGTGCTGAGGCATCGAACCCAGGGCCTCATGCATGGAAGGCAAGCACTCTACCACTGAGCTACCTTCCCAGCCCCGAGGCTAGTATTTTGAAAGGATCATCTGTGCAGATAGGATGATGACAGTAGGGTATTAGAGATGATATGACAGAAGTGAAATTCCTCATGGTTTGAGGAGGTGTGACTCCAGCTGTGGTAGTAGATGGTGCTAACAGGTGGGATCCTGAGTGGAATCCTCTGATGATCTGAGCTTGAAATTCTAGGAGAAATGAAATGAAAATTGCCTGGAAAGGGTAATTAGAAGGAGGGGGGGAAGGAAAATAAAATGAAGAGGAAGGAATTAAATAAATACTTCAGGAAGATTTCCCAAACAGAAGGATTTGTGTTTCTTTATTGAAAGGGTGTGCTGAATCTCAGCATAGAGACTGCAGAGCCACAGCTCCCTCCCCTCTTTATCTCCTCCCTCTTTCTCTTTCTCTGCTTCCCTTCTTCCTCCCCTCTCCTCCCTCTCTCTGTCTCTCTATTCTCTCTCATCATTTCCAGCAAATAACCTTATTTGAAATTTTAGAATATATCAGAGGGAGAGATGATAAAAAGATAAAGAGAATATAATGACAATTCTAAAATCTTCTAGAGGTAGGGCAGAAAGAGTTGGCAATTAAAGAACCAAAAATTAGAGTGTCCCTGAACTTCTCATTTGCAGCTCTAGAAATGGAAGAGAATAGAATGATGATTTCAGAATTCTAGAGGGAAATGATTTGTATCTAGTCTATATCAAGCCTATAACTGTAACTATAACTAATTGTGAAAGGAGAATTAAGATTCTTTCAGAAGTTCAGGGTGACAAAAATTACATATCTCATAGATCTATTGGAAGGGGTTGGAGTATGTTAAGAAGGGAATAGAAATAAAAAAATATTTTTCCTTCAATCTGATATCAATAAAAGGGTAATATTCAAAACTATGGTTTACAGGTGTCAGACTAACTCCTCTTCTCTTCTACTTCCTATCCATCCTTCAGAGCATAGAGCAGTCATGGAAGCTGCTTTTGTGTACGGGACCACATACCAATTTGTCTTAACCACAGAAATTGCACTTTTGGAAAGTATTGGGTATGTATAAGAGGTTTGAGCCAACAGTTCTGTTTTGTGTTGTTCACATGTTTCATGGGCTTATCTGAAGGAATCATAACAGATGAAACTGTAAATAAAGCTAAAATGCCCTTTACCACTTATCAACTATGCCACAACCTGAAGGCGTGCATGAATAATGGAGCTAATGAGAGAGTAAGGTGAGCTAATACAGTACAGATAAGGCACAGATGGAATCCCACATAGCTGCTGTGAGTCTTCTGGGAGTAGGTCTTTCCAGAGATCATAGGGATAAAATAACAGCTTTCAGAAGTGAAGCTCCAGAAATTCTTTGTGAGAGTTCTGTGTCACTTTGTCATAACAATTTAAAGTGGATCTGAGTACAGAATATTTTAATGTTTATTTGTCTTCTTTAGTTTCTAGATAGAAGCACTTTCAGTATTTTTGGCTGAGCAGCCTAGGGTTACAGTTTCAATGTGCTTTCAAGATACAGGTTAGTGACATGTTTCTCAGGAAATGAATCCAAAGCAAAGCAAAATGGGTATATTGTTTTTTTTAATGTATTTATTTACTTGTTTATGGCCAGGCTTGGGGCTTGAACTCAGGGCCAGGGTACTGTCCCTGAACTTTTGTGTTCAAGGCTAGCACTCTACCACTTGAACCACAGCTCCACTCCTGGCATTTTGGTGATTAATTGCAGATAAATGTCTCATGGACTTTCCTTCCCTGGGCTGGCTTCAAACCACTAGCCCCAAATCTCTACCTCCTGAGTAGCTAGGATTACAGGTGTGAACCACCAGTTCTACCTACCTATCTATCTATCTATCTATCTATCTATCTATCTATCTATCTATCTATCTATCTATCTATCTATCTATCTATTTTTGATTTGAGGCAGGGTCTCAGGTAGCTCAGTCTGGCAAGGCACTTGCTTTGTAGCCCAGAATGGCCCCAAACTGAAGAACCTCCTGCCTTAGTGCTGGAGTTAGGTATGTATCAACATGCCCAGCTAATGTGATCAATTTGAGTTTTTACTAACTCTTTTCTGGCCTTTCAGAACAGACTAGCTCTGTGACAAAGCACATATAATTGCTTAAAGTCCAGAGGTTTTATAGTTCTGGAATATCTTGAGGCTAATGCATAGAAAGCTGACATAGTGAAATAATTTGGGGGAGAAGAGGTAGGAAGGGAAGAAAGTTCTTCAATTTTTCTTGTGTTCTGTGAGATACTCTTCCTTCTAAACAAGTAGTAAACCTCTCATCTTTTGGGTTTCTGTTATGTGCAAACAAATGATCCTTGATTAAATGAATTTGCCACATGACTGTTATCTCAGAGTTATAATACATAGTCCAACTTTAACTGAGACCCTATAAATTTACCTCTTCCTTGTAGTAGTATGTGACTACTCAGGTTCCCCTTAAGCAGTTATATGCTTTCATTGAACCTGAGTAGTGAGGCCTGTCTTCTTGGAGAAGCCATTATTCAAGGAAGGTTTTTATGCTCTTCTTTCTCCTTCCCTACTTGCTCTTCCTTCTCCTACCCAACTTGGCCAGAATGAAATTTCTTTCTTCTTTGCAGCCTTTTATATTAGGGACATTATAATTTGTTTACCAAATGGATGTCCTTTAGTCTAAGCTCTTCAAGGATTTGAGCTTTCTCATGAATTTTTAGCTTTTGTGTTTAGTACAGGACCCCATACTAGGCATTACACGAATCTTTAAGTGACATTCTCTAATCCTTGACTTTATGGGAATTCTTTGTAACAAAATCAGAAATCACTGTACCTTGAATGCTTAGTTTATGCATGTTAAGATTTAAACATTTTAAAAACAAAAATTTGTACTATTTTGCCAGAATCTACTAATGCCATATGGAGATTAAAAAAACACCTCAATTTTAATTTTGGCAAAATTCATCCTCACTATAAGTTTATCTTTGAATTTTCATGTTGCAAGGAGTGGCAAAACTTAGTTATAAGCCATTTTTGCCAAGTTTTGTGGTATTTCAAATACAAATACACAAACTCCCACAAATAGTCACATGGTTTTTACCTTAAGGTATGTTTGGGCTGAAGTTTATTCAAAGTAGCTTTGAGTTTAAATTAAATGTAGAAGCAATTATATTTGAAGATAATCTCATTGTCTATGACAGTCTTTTATTAAAACAAAATCACATAGGACTCCCTATGAACCTAATTTAGAAGCTACCATCTGAAAGAGGTCAGGAAGAGAAGTGCTGTACAGCTCATGAGGCTTGTTCAAATAGTTAGGCTGATTTTCTTTTTCCTTTCTTCCTTCCTTTTGTTTTCAGTATGTGGTTTGAACCATGGCCTCATGCTTGCTAGGCAGGTGCTCTACCAGTGAAGCCATTATCTTCAGCTCATTTTTGTTTTAGTTAGGTTTTGGAGAGTTCTTTATTTTCACCCAAACCATTCCCCCATTATAATCCTCCTATCCAGGCTTCCCACACAGCTAAAGGAATGAACTATGGCAAACTTGTTGGTTGCCATGATTCTTGCTAACATTTTTCCCAAGTTGGCCTGACACTGAGATCTTGCTAAATTCTGGCTTCTGAGTAGCTCGGATTACAGGTATGTGCTACCATGCCAAACCCAAGGAATCATGCATTCTTTTTTTAATTTTTCCACATTTATTTTAATATTACACTCTTTGAGTCCTCTTACTAGGACTATAATTCAAAAGCATGTGATAGAGATTGTTATTACAACTTTTCAGATGGTAAAATGATCACACATAAACTTTAAGTAGAAAGTCTTTAATTTTTAATTTGCAGCTCTGAGAATATCGAACACGCACATCTCTACTTTTCTCATTGTGAACCTGTCCTGGACCTGGCTCAGCAGTGTAGAAGAACACGAATGGAGCGGCCACTGAGTACGCTGAACATTCACATGTTTGTTAAGACTATGAAAGCACCTCTGTTGGTAAGAGGCCTATTTTAATTTGATTCACACAGGTATATTCTACTTCTATGAGTTATATCTCTTCCCTTTTTGGGGGCATATTCCTCCCATTTTATGTTTTTTTTTATTGATGATAGAGTAAAAAGACTTATTTTTAATGTTTTAATGCCTCGATTAGTCATTGGGTTGATATCTAAATATAACATTGTAGAAGTGAACATATTCTTTGGGAGTTCAAATGAACTCTGGGGCTTGGAGAGAGCTCACAAGTCAGAAAGACCAGGTCATCATAAGAAAAGACCTCTTTTGTGGACACTTCAATCATTGTTTGTACTGTGCCCACTCTCTTAGCATTAGCTTCGGAGAGTCTAGTAGAGTTTTACTGGGTGATGGGGGCTTACTCTCTGAAGTGTTAAGGGTTGTCCTTGGGGTTTATAAAACCTTCAGTAGATCTTCTCACCCAGTTCATGTATATGCATAATATATATGTGTATATGTGTAATGGTGCATGTGAATTATACATAAATAAGCAGTGTAGTTTAATATAAAGAAAAGTCACCCAGTGTCTTTACTGAGGAATGAATTTTAGATGACACACATCAGTCATCTCTGCACACAGAGGTAGTTTAGATTAAGAGTTGTTTTATAATAAGATGTGGTATCTTGGAAGTGGTGCTATGGCTCAAGTGGTAGAACACTTGCCTTGAGCTGAAGAGCTGAGGGACAGCACCCAGGCCCAGAGTTCAAGCCCCATGACCAAAAAAAGAAAAAAAAAAAAAGAAAAGAAAGATGTGGTACCTTTAACCCTGTTTGCGTTTAACAAAGAAAAAGAAACTGAGATCTAGAGGGATTATGGTGCTTTTCATGAATGCTTCATCATACGAAGGGCCCTTTAAGAAATATTGTCTGAAGTGTTGAAAATGCATAGGAAAAACATTTAAAAGCTGAATTTTTTTGTAAACTCCATTTTAGGTAAAACAGTCATGTTTCAAAGATGAGAGAATTAACTTCATACATTTATTTTCATCTTTGCGCCTTTCGGATAGTTTTAGTATATGTAATTTTATAGCATTAAAGTCAGTAGTACTTACATTCTGTACCCATAATTTTTCCCTTTTAAAAAGTCTGCCTTCTTTATTTAAGTAGATTCATTGTTTGACAGCCACAGGTTCTTGGCTTCATTTCCTTGTTCTTTATTTTAAGTAACATTTTTGATTTGATCTTGACTGCTAGGAATTTTTTTTTTTTTTTTGGGAAAGCAGTATATAAGCCCTTTTCCTTTTCTTCTACAGTGGAGGGGATGCATTTGCTTCTCAGGGAAAGACACCTCCTGAGCTTGGTTTGCAGCTCACTTGTACAGTTCACTGTACAGTTTTTCACCATTTTCTCTGCCTCATTCCCTTCTCTAAGAATACTCAGGATTATTGAGAATTCTGAGGATTTTCTCTGCACACTAATAAGAGGCAGGATTGTGTTTCATTCCAAGCTTACTAAAAGCCTTGTGAGTTTTGTTTGTTTGTTTTATTTTGTTTTTCTTTTCTTGCAACAACATTCTTCCTGGAAATTGTACTCATTTCCTAAAGTCTTTCCTCATGAATTTTCTTTCTCTGAGTTTTAAAACTACTTTTTAAGATTGATGTTGAGGAAGGTGATTCTGTGATCATCTCTATTTTATTTTATGATACTTACCAGGAATTAGTAATTTGTAATGTTAGTTTTGAAACTGAGAGATTAAAACTTGGGAGATGTCATAATTTGGTATTCAATTAAGCATAGTATGGGAAAATGCTAACAATACAGCTGGTATGGTAGTTCATGCCTGTCAATCAGCACTGAAGAGGCTAAGATAGAGAATCAAAAAATTGAGACGAGGCTGATCACTGGTAGCTTACACATATAATCCTAAGCAACTCAGGAGGTTGAGATCTGAGGATCACGGTTCGAGGCCAGCCCAGGGAGGAAAGTCCATGAGACTCTTATCTCCAATTAACTACCAGAAAACTGGAAGTGGCACTGTGGCTGAAGTGGTAAAGCACTTGCCTTGAGCTGAAGAAGTCAGGGACAGCACCCAGGCCCAGAGTTCAAGTCTCACAACTAATAACAACAAAAAAAAAAAACGAGACTTGGATGGGGTCTACATAGAAAGACCTCCATCCCCCAACCATAAAAATCAAAGATCTTATTAATTTTGTTTCTCTTCCTTCTCCTTAGTCTGGTTTTGAACTTGTCATTTTCTGGACTTAGCCCCAGTGGTATTTGGGATTCTTTCCCTCCCTGCCTACCTTTTTCCCTGTCCTCCTCCCTTTCCTGCCTCCTCCCTTCCTCCCCTCCCTGCCTCCCTCTTTGCCTTCTTTTGTCTCCTGCTTTCTCTCCTCTCCTTCCCAATTGTGCATTTATCTTTGTAAAAAAACCTATCCTCTCTTGTATCTTTTCTGCAATTTCTGGAGGGACTGAAATAGCTATGTGTATTCAATATGCTACTCCTATAGTTTTCATTGTTCTGAGACTGTGTCATTTGTTATATATTATGCTTTTATATGAAAAATTTATTCCTTAGCTATCCTGTTTCCTTTGACATATTTACCTCTGTTAATGCCACATTCGTTATTATTTCCTTATGCCTGTCTATTATGTTTGTAATGTTTTTATGATATTTAGGTTTGAGCTCAGGGTCTTATACTTGCTAGGCAGATGCTCTACCATCTCTTTTCTTTCTCTCTTTTTTTCCTTTTTCCTTCCTATTTTTCCCTTTCATTCTTTCCCTTCTTTCCTTTTACTTATTTTTCAGGGCACAGTTTTACTATGGGCCTTATATGACCCTATGTCACCCACATGGCTGAGGTTACAGTTGGAAACCACCATACTCAGCTGTGGGTTGAAATGGAAGTCTTGCTAATTTTTTTTTTTTTTTTTACTTGTGCTGGCCTTGAATTTTGATCCTCCTAATCTCCACCTCCTGGGATTATAAGAGTGTGCCATCACTCATGACATTTTATGGTTGTAATTTTATGTTTAATTCTTTATAAGATGTTAGTTTGGGGATACTTAAACTATATGACTACATTGGAATAATTAAAGTTAGTAAATTATAACAGTTTTAGTAATGCTGGATTTATTTCACATTGCCTTTGGAAGACTTAGGTCCAAATGTTGGAACATTGTTATCACACAATGACCACATTATATTCTTTTTTCTAAATGAAGACTGAAGTTGCTGAAGATCCTCAACAAGTTTCAACTCTTCATCTCCAGCTGGGATTACCACTGGTGTTTATTGTCAGTCAACAGGCTACATATGAAGCTGACAGGAGAACCGCTGAGTGGGTTGCGTGGCGTCTCCTGGGGAAAGCGGGAGTGCTGCTCTTGCTAAGGTACATTGTACATTGAATATTCAGTATAACTAGCAAAGCATGAATTTTGGTGTGTGTGTGTGTGTGTGTGTGTGTGTGTGTGTGTGTGTGTGTGTGTGTGTGTGTGTGTGTGTGTGTGTGTGTGTGTGTGCGCGCGCGTTTATCGCGCTTATCCCAGTCTTGGGACTTGAACTCAAGGCCTGAGTCCTGTATCTGAGCTTTCTTGCTTAACAGTAGTGCTCTATCACTTAAGCCACAGCTCCATTTCTGGTTTTTTGGTGGTTAACTGAACATAAGAGTTTCATGAACTTTCCTGATCAGCTGGCTTTGAACTGCGATCCTCAGATTTTAGCCTCCTGAGTAGCTACTGGCATTCGAGTATAATTTTCTATTTCTAATGTGGCCATTTAGTCATATAAACTCAACTCTTTAATTGATCCAAGTGTTGTTAGAAGTAATTGGTGAGCTCAATTAATTATAAGCTCAATTGAAGTTAAAATAGGCATGTTGACTCATGCCTGCAATTCTAGCTACTTCTGAGGTAGAAACTAGGACTGTGGTTTGAGGGTAGTCCCAGCAAAAATGAACGAAATCCTGTTGTAAGCAACAGGCTAGACATGGTTGTTTGTATCTGTAATCTCGGCTATTAGAAAGCATAGGTAATTACAGTTTGAGGCTAACCCCAGGAAAAAACTGGAGAGTTGTCTGAAATATAATGAAAGCAAAAAGGGCTGGGGGCATGGTGGTAGAGTACCCACTTAGCAAGTTCAGGGTCCTTGAATTCAAATCCCAATATTACCACCACCAAAAAACAAAACAAAAAAACAAAAAAAAAACAACAAAAAAAAAGGAAATGAGAAAATTTGGTTTGTATTTACATGTGAATTTTCTAAAACACATCATTGTAATGCTCTGTATTTATGTAAACATTGTGTTTTAGTAAGAACTTAGTTTTGTTTAGATTGACATCCTGGATGACTGTTAGTTTTCACATTAGCATAACATGTTTATTTCCATTTTAAAAAAGGGATTCTTTGGAGGTGAGCATTCCTCAGCATGCTAACGTGGTCTTCAGAAAGGCAGCAAAGGTCAGTCCTCATCTGAACTGTCATGTGGCCCCTTCTCTAAGGGAAACCAGCATGTGTGGGCTCAAGTGATGTGTGTCATGGAAAATCTGTGAATTGTAAATATAGTTGCTAATAATATTTTAATTTGGTGTCTGTCTCTTGTGCTGTGTGCATAATGTTTACTTAGGTAATAGTTTCTTAAAGAAAATCAAGATTTTGCTATATATCCTCCAATTAACCCTACCCTTAGATTATACTTCATGACTTTCTCTTGAGAGACAATACCTGTCTTTGTGGGAAGTTTGAGCATCACTGATCCTTTGCTTTGGCAAAATTTCTGGAAGTGAAATTTGTCAAAAGAAACAGGAATTTGTGTGTGTGTTTCCCCTCAATTTATTTTATTTATGTTTTTATTATTATTATAAAGGTGATTTACAGAGGGATTACAATGACGTAAGTCAAGTAAAGAGTACATTTCTTTTTTGGAGGATGTCACTCCTTCCTTTGCTCTCTCCTAATTTTTCCCTCCTGTCCCCACCCACAAGTTGTATAGTTCATTTTCTTTCTTTCTTCTTTCTTTCTTTCTTTCTTTCTTTCTCTCTCTCTCTTTCTCTTTCTTTCTTTCTCTCTCTCTCTCTCTCTTTTATTTTTGGTTGGTTGTGGGGCTTGGGCTCTGGACCTGGGCGCTGTCCCTCAGCTCTTCAGTACAAGGCTAGTGTGCTACCACTAGAGCAAGCCACAGTGCCACTTCTGACCTTTTCTGCTTATGTAGTACTGAGGAATTGAACCCAGGGCCTCATGCATGGGAGGCAAGCACTCTACCATTGTGCCACCTTCCCTGCCCTGTACAGTTCTTTTTCAACATAGCAACTAGTAAGTACTACTGAGGCATTTGTTGGAAATGGGAAGTTTTAAGTCTTTGAAACTATTTTGTCAAATTGCCTTACCAAAAAGTTCACTAGGTCTCTCTGTTGACAGGTTTTCTGTCAAAGATAAGCTTATCTGCAAGTTTCTTTGGTAAATTCATTGTCAGTCCTGGGATTGTGTACTCAGCCTTTCTGCTCCCTTTGCTGTACCCCACCAGGCAAAGGGTTTGTTTAAAGATCTCTAAATGGTAGTATTGGTTATACAGCTACAGTATATGCTTAATCACTGTATTACAGGCCTTATAATGTAAAATTAAAGTTATAAAACGTTTCTGGAAGCATCATGTTAATTCTTCAAATACGTGTTTCTCTGTGGCAGTGAACAGCATTAAACAATGTTAGAAGTGTCTTCCATACAATCATACTGTCTAGTTTAAACCCTACTTTGTCAAGTGAGAATAGTAATGTCTACTTTGAAGAATTATTACATTATGTTAAATGATGAGATTTAAAGAGCTGACTAAGCACAGAGCCCAGCATTGTTAATACTAATAAATATCAATGCATATTCATGCCTGCATTGTATCAGGCACAGTTCTAGGTTCTGAGATAGGCCATGAAAGCAGTGCTTTTCCTTGTGGGGCTACTATACTTGTAGTTAGAGACATTAAAATCAAATGTTAAGGGCTGGGAAGGTGGCTCAGTGGTAGAGTGCTTGCCTTGCATGCATGAAGCCCTGGGTTCGATTCCTCAGCACCACATAAGTAAAAAGAAAAAGCCAGAAGTGGCGCTGTGGCTCAAGTGGTAGAGCGCTAGCCTTGAGTTGAAGAGCTGAGGGATAGCGCCCAGGCCTAGAGTTCAGGCCCCACGACTGGACCCCCCCCACCCCCCCAAAAAAACCAACAAAACAACAAATGTTAAAGTTGAGTGCCAGTGACTCATGTTTGTAATCCTAGCTACTGAGGAGGCTGAGATCTGAAGATTGTGGTTTCCTGCCCAGGCAAGAAAGTCTGTGAGACTCTTAACTCCAATTAACCACAAACGCACACACGCACGCAACCAGCAGTGGAGCCGTGGCTCAAGTGGTAGAACACTACCCTTGAGTACAAAAGCTTTGGAACAGCAACCAGGCCCTGAATTCAAGACTCAGGACCAGCAACAAAACAAAACAAAAATCAAAACTATAAGTTTGTGAAAGCCATTTTATTCTGTTTTTAAACATTTTGTCATGAAAAAAGCCCCAGTGATGCCAAAAAGTAGAAATATAGAGTAAGTAACTATATATATCCACCACCAGATTCAGCAATAGACATTTTATCCTATAACTTCATCTGGTTTTTCTGATATGATAACATTTTATGTATAAATACATCTCTAAATACTACATTTGTACTCTATATATGTATGTATCACCATCTTACTATCACAATTAAAGTTATATTTAATAATGTAATAATATATCAATAATTTAATAACCTAATTTCAAAGTTAGTCCATACTGAAATTTTCTCGTCTTAAAATTATTTTTATAACCTTTGCAAACCAAATTCCAGTGAAGAATTAGAAATTGTATCTGCTATAGGTTCAAAGTCTCTTAGTATCTTAAATTTCCCCATCCTTTTCTCTCTGTGACATGACTTTTTGGATAAAAGTGGCTTGTTTTTCCAAATTATGAATTTTTCAGTTTCTTTTTGCTTTTGTATACCTTATTTCTTGGTTGTCTTATACTTTCTTCCCATTAGATTTTAAGGTTGGTTAGCTCCTTTGGACACTTGGGTAAGAATATGTCACAGTGAGGCTAACCTTCATTACATTCCATCCTCTCCTAATGTGATAGCGCTTGTTTTACAGTGACTCATATGAGGTGGTACCATTCTTTCTCTTCACTGTAAGACACATTTCCCCTTTTCCAGTTAGCAAATTGACTATAGGTGGAAATATATATATATATATATAAAATATGCATATGCATATATCTCACAAGAAACCCTAGTAGTGATCCACCAGAATGGTTAAAGTAACAATCCCAAGTATTGACAAGGATGTGAAAATCCAAGATTTTCATATACTGCTATTAGGAGTGCAGATTGGCATGATGAAAACTGACGAAACACTTTCCAGTGCTATCCAAGCTGAAATTCTCTGTATTGTGCAGACCCATATTTGCCTTCTTAAGTATGTGCCCAACAGAAGTGCATGTGCATGTCCACCAGACATGTGATCTCCACAGCAGTATTATTTATGGTAGTCCCAGACTGTCCACAGACATAGAATGTCCATGAACATAGAACATGAATAGATTAGAGTAATGTGCTGTGACAACTACACTGCTGAAAAAACCTACTTTTATATGTTAGCAGCATGGATCAAACACTGGTAAAAAGAACCACAAAAAGGATATAGTTTATGCTTGCATAGTTTCATTATATAAATTCACAAATCAGCAGAATTTATAGAGAGTGATTATTCTTCAGCTGATTGGGCTTCTACAAGAAAGTATGATCTGTTAGATGGCTTATAGAAAACAGAACTTTATTATTTCTCACAGTGTATAGTGAGAATGCATTTGTGGTTCCCAGATGGTACCCTCTCTCTGTGCCCTCATAGGATAGGGAGAGGAGTTCTCTGAAGATTCTGATGGACTTAATTCCATCCCTCTGCCTTCATAACCTAAGCACCTTTCATAGGACTCAACTCCTACTCCATCACTGGTGCTTAACTTTGAGCCTAGGCATTTTGAGGGGACAAAAAATATTCAAACCATAGTGGTCATGAATGGCAGAGTAGTGATTATCTTTAGGGGAGAAGTGTAACAAAGAGGGACAAATTGAGGCCACTGGCTTTGCTGAAATTGCTCACCTCTTAACAGATACGTAAACTTTTTGTCTTGTTTTCTGCAGGATTCTTACACTTAGTAAAAATTTACATACAACATTTTTATATTTGAAACAAATTCAGTTCCATTTACTTTGACTCTTCCATCTCTCAAATCCATTACATTTCTGCAGGAATAAAAAAAAAAAAACCTGCTTAGGAAAGATGCTTCTATGCAAAGTCAAGGTCACTAATTCATTCCATAAAAGGTCTCTCCCACATTTAACTTCCCTATTGAAAAGATGTCTTATATCTGCAAGGAAAAGAATTCAAAGGATGTAAAGGATGTGAGCACTTTGAAAAGCTATGCTGATGTCACCTGAAACAATAATTACCCAAATTTACCCTTGTAACTTGTTGCCTAGATTGTAAGCTCTCTGAGGGCAGGTGCGTCTCCTGCACAAATTTATAATCCTCTACAGCAGCTTGCTGTGTTTTGTACTTGTACACACCTAATAAATTTATTATTTGTTAAAAAAAACCTGCTTGCTTTGAATAAAACATTTAAAAGATATATATGTAATATGGAAGAAAAAGCATTTGAAGCTTTATTTACTAACATAACCAAATGGTTTAAATTTCATGTTTTTAAAAAGTCGTAGTAGAACATTAGTGAAAGAAACCTTAATGGAATAATTTTGATCTAAGTGGAATAAAATGTGGTGTTCTTAAAATGCCTAGAAATGGAGAGTAATTTTAGGTTTATAGATAACAGGAAATTCAACTTCGGAGAATCATTATTTTAGATGAAGATTTTTTTTATTCTGTGGAATATCAAATGTGATCAGTCCATTGACGGTAGTATAGCCATAGATCTGGGATTATCAAAGTAACATTTTGATTAGCTCAATTTGCAGCAAATCTATATGTTCAATTTTATCTTGAGGTAGGGCTTGCTCTGATATGTCAAATGTTTTACAGGTTTCAGTTGTGACCGGAAGCAAGTGACATTTTCCATTCCTTTTTTTGTGTTTATATAAACATTCTGGATGCTTTTTTGATAGTAATTTGGTGTTTGCTTCCTTTTTTTTTAAAGTGAAGTTCAAAGGTGTAGTTTCAGTGTCAAAAAATAAAAACATCATTTTTTTTTGCTAAAATTTTAGTAAGTTGTAACAAATTAATGTATTTCTAGGATGTTCCAGTGGAATATTTAGTTTTACATGATGTTGATTCAATAGTTTCCCATGTGGAAAATAAAATATATGTTGAACAAGTACAAGAAGATGAAGATGATGATGTGGAAGACCTAGATCTGGGTAAGTTACAGTGCTCACTACCCCACTTCCTGCCTAACACCTGTAAAGTCAGTGAAATTTCCAGTGGATTACCTTTCTCATTCATTGTATTAACATCAAAGACTGTGAAGAAAACTGGAGAAATTAATTTTAATCATATTCATCAAATTAATTAGTTTAAAAAATTGTTGTAAAGGTGATATAGAGGAGTTACAGTTACATAAGTCAGATAATGAGTATATTTCCTTTGGACAGTGTCACCCCTCCCTCATTCTCTCCCAGTTTTTCCCCTCCTGACTTCCCTCCCCATCAAGTGGTAGAGTTCATTTCCAGCATAGTGTCTAGTGGGTTTCACTGCTGAATTGGTTCACCCCTTGTCCTATGGTTTCTATGTTTTCCCTTCCCCTCCCCAAATCAGATAAGTTTATATACAAGACAAAGGATAAAGAAATAAAAAAACAGCGAATAAACAGGGAATAAACCAAAGAAAAAAGGAAAGAAGAAAAGAAAAAAGGAACCACAAACAGTACAATAAAAAACTTACTGCTTCCATTTCATGGAGTTCATTCTGATAAGCATATGATTATATGCACATAGCTATTGAGACCTTGTGATCCTCTCCTAAGAAAATCCTCATCACCATGTGAATGTTTAGACTGTTATTTGAAAGGTTTAAGGAGGCTATATTGTATTTAGTATGTATGTACTTTTTTGTTTTTGATGCTGGGTGTGAACTTGGGGCCTTAGCTTGCTAGGCAGGTGCTCTACCACTTGAGTCTCACCTCTATCCCAAAGATATACCTTCATTGTTACGTATCACCCTTCTAGCATCTGATACCTCTATCTTTAAAAACAACTTTTATATTATCTTTAAGTAATTATACAAAGAAGTTGCCGTTCAACAAAGAAGTTTATGAATACAATATATCTTCATCACTGCTATCCCATTCAATATCTTTTAACCAGTCTAATCCATGTTTAAAAATTCCATTTAGAAGCCATAGGATATTTTTATTACTCCTTTATATTTATTACTAAGAGATAAAATTGTAATAAATGTTACAGTGTCTGTAGTTGGGAAGTCTGATCATTAACAGTATAGAGTCAACTTTGATAACATTTTAGTATTTCTTTTTTAACAGTTCTGTTTTTATAAGTCTTCTGTTGGTGTTTATAGAAGTATTTATTCTCTAATTCTCAAGGCTTTTCCACACACATGACTTTGATTATTATCCTGTGAGTTAACTGATGTTACCTTCACTTTATAGATGCTACCTTTGTTTTTTCAGTTTTGTGAACTGTCCAAGGTCACACTAATGGTGTGTGGTGGAGGTTGGATTAGACCTGAACTCATCTGGACTAGAATTGTAACATGAGCTTCTTTATTATCATTATCATCCCAAATGTGTCTTTCATAACATAACATTTACAAACTGTAAATGCTCATTTCCATTTCTTTTTGCTTCCATAGTCTGTTACTATCTCCATCAAAGATCATGTCTTGTTCATTTTTATGTCCCATTTAATGAGTTCTTTAATCTTTTATATAGTGTCATTATCGTGAGCCCCAAGAAGGAAGCAATTTACACATTCTTTTCATGAGGTCCCTTATTATGATCAAGATTATAAATTTAATAAGAACCTTAACCATTATCAGTAGTCAGTTTTCTGTTTGAGCTGAGCCCTAGCTCTTTTGTGGCCTGCAAAGGTTAGGATTTTTGTGATCCTGGCAGGATTTCTTCTCCAATACTTTAGTATTACATTGGCAGATCTGAGTTCTGGCTTCTTGTTCCTTGCTGTGTTCTTGTTATGGTTCATATGCTCCAACCCTCTCGGGGACTTGTCTTGGTTTGTTTAATAAGATTTCTGTCCTCAGCAAGAGCTGCCTGTTGAAGATTCCTGTGTTCATGCTTTCTGACTAAGTGGCTTTAGTTTGTTCTCTCTTTTAACTATCTTTTGCCTTCTCTTTTAACTGTCTACCTGCCTTCTTCCCTGAACCTGATTCTAGTATTTCCTTTACAGATTTGCTTTTTTTTCCATTTTAACTTCCCATTGTCTGTAATAGATATTGGCCCTTAGTAATGCATGATTTTATGTCTGTACATGTAATCTTCTCTCTCCCTTTTGTGTCATTTCTATTACACAGGAAAGCTAGAATCTTGATTACCTGCTGATAATGCTTTAGATTGTCTAATCTAAATTTTTCTGTTACAGTCTCTCACCCATACTGTTTATCTTCCTTCATAAACTGATGAGTTTATCAGTATATATTAATTCATTTATTCATCAGTTTATTGTCTGGCTTTTCCATTGATCAAAGCTCCATGTGATCAAGGACAATGTCTTACCCTAGTGTTTACCAAAGTGCTTGATAAATAGTAAAAGTTAACACTGTACTATGAGTATTTTTGGGTACTTTCAGGATTTGAAATAGTGATTAGAAACAAAATAGCAGTATTTATATTATTTGTAGAACAAAATCAGTAACTACTTCTGGGATTGACTAAAATTTATAATCGCTGGATCAGAAAGCATCAGAGTCATTTAGAGAGGAAGCCAGGCAACAGCAGAGTTTTCTAAATATCATACATTTTATTTAGATAGTGTCAATTGAAAAGTTTTTGTTTTTTTTTTGGGTCCGGTCATGGGGCCTGAACTCTGGGCCTAGCGCTGTCCCTCAGCTCTTCAGCTCAAGGCTAGCGCTCTACCACTTGAGCCACAGCGCCACTTCCGGCTTTTTTTTTGCTTATGTGGTGCTGAGGAATCGAACCCAGGGCCTCGAGCATGCAAGGCAAGAGCTCTATCACTGAGCCACCTTCCCAGCCCCAATTGAAAAGTTTTTTAAAAAATAAAATGCCAAATTTTCATATGCTTGCTTATGAGAAGAGTTATAGTTGTATCTTTTTTTTTTTTGTCCACTGTGGGGCTTGAACTCTGGGCCTGGGTGCTGTCCCTGAGCTTTTCAGCTCAAGGCAAGTGCTCTACCACTTGAGCTTGAGGGCCACTTCCATTTTCTGGTGGTTTATTGGAGATAAGAGTCTCATGAACTTTCCTGCCTGGGCTGGCTTTGAACCGCGATCCTCAGATCTCAGCCTCCTGAGTAGCTAGGATTACAGGCATGAACTACTGGCACCTGGATAAAGTAACATTTTTTTAAACATTTAGATGTTCAAGATGATGAAGTGGAAGAAACTGTCTTCAGAGATAGGAAGAGACAGTTACCTTTGGAGCTAACAGTGGAACTAACAGAAGAGACCTTTAATGCGACAGTAATGGCCTCTGACAGCTTAGTGCTCTTCTATGCTGGTTGTGAGTATAAGCCTTTAGAGACACCATATTATGTATTATGACAGTTAGAGTAGACACCATTTATTTTAGCATTCTACTTATTTACATTTTTAAATGACAGCTTTTACATGTTCTAAGTAGATTGCACGCATTGAAGCACTAACTTTCAGACTATATATATTTCTATATATGTAATTTACAAATTAAAGGTTAATGTTTAATCTAAGTATCCTGACTCAAGCTAATCATTTTTAGTGTATTATCAGTTCTTATAGATTCCTAAGGGAATACAATATTTATTTTAAAAATAGCCATTCAATTATATTACTTTTAGCTTATAAAAATTAACTGTATTTTAGCTTATAAAAATTAACTGTATTTGAACCCTTTAAAGTGATTGGATAATAGTGAGCCTCTGTTAGGATATTTCTTATTTGGAAATAAAAATTTGGAAAATCTCAAAAAGCTGTGCCTTTGTTCATGGATGCTTTGGAGATATGTGTTCTAATGTCTGCTGAATCTTTTAATGCAGGGCATGCAGTATCCATGGCATTTCTCCAATCCTATGTTGATGTGGCAGCTAAATTGAAAGGTATTATTCTGTGGGACGCATGATTATTTTCCTGATTCTGAGATCTATTTTTTTTTCAAAACTGCCATTATAAACATATAGAAAATTACATAAAATTTCAGGTCATTTGTGTCTTTGTGATTAAATTAATAAACCAAAACTATTAAGAATTCTCTGAGACAGTTAGATCTCATGGGACAACACTTTGTGGAAACAAGAGCCCATTTATTAAATATTTGTGACTACACAGTTAATCCACTAACTTTTTGGATTAAATTCAGTCATGTAACAAGCATTTGTCTAGTGTCTACTCTGCCTGTTACTACTAAACACTGTAAGCAAAAATTTGACACAAAAACTCAGTTTCATGGTTTCTTTAGTGAAAGATCAAAGATTTTAGTATCTTGAGGTTACATAGCTCCTCATGGACTAGGATTTAGGTATTTTGTGAAAACAGATCCATTGATAAGCAAATAAGAGTCCAGGGATTGGTCTTTAACTCAAAATGTCCATATCATCTTTCCAGCAAAAACACTGACACAGGCTTAATCTTGGCTGCCCTGAGAATATTATCTACCATGTTTTTGTTTGTTTGGGGTTTTTTGTTGTTGTTATTTTGGATTAGGTTTTAAACTCAGGACCTTATCTTTTCTAGGCAAGTGGCCTACCCTTGAAGCACATCTCCAGTACTTTTTGATTTAGGTTACTTTTTAGATAGAGGTGTTGATATTCGTCCTGGGTCAGCCTTCGGCTGTGATCCTAAGATCTTACTTAACCTGGATGAGAGAGGGGTGCGTGTGCATGTGTGTGTGCATGTGTATCTATGTGTGCACACACATGTGTACATGCAACCATATCTGGCTTTTTTAAAAGATGGAAATCTCACTATTTTGCCTGAGTGGTGTTTAACTTCTTCCTTCTGGGTAGCTGGGATTACAGGCATGAGCCTAACTCCCACACTTAGTTGTCAAGTTGTATGTGTTTGTAGAATAGAAAAGCAAATAACTAATTCGGGACACACATTCATCCTACCTACAGCCTGCAGGTAATTTTATGCAGTTTTTTTTTAATGTGACTTAGTTGTGATTGGTCGCAGGAATTCAGTTGTAGAATTTTCACTTGTGATATTATAACAGTACTCAGGAAGTTTCAGATTTTGGATCATTTCAGATTTTAATTTAATTTTTTATATTTTTATATTTGAACTCAGGGCCTTGGCCTGAGTCTCTTGGCTTTTTCTCTCAAGGCTGGTGCCCTTCCACTTGAGACACAGCTCCACTTCTAGCTTTTTGATGGTTAATTAGAGATCAGAGTCTCATGGACTTTTCTGCTCTAGCTGGCTTTGAACTGTGATCTCGCCCTTTCAAGTAGCTAGGATTATAGGTGAGATTTCAGATTTTTAGACTAGCATTCTTAACCTGTACTATAATGTTAAAGTAAGAAAACATGATAGCATTTTGGATATTATTTCTACAATCTGTCTTCCATCGTGAACTCTTGGGAAAATATATTTTTCATCTCAGCTTAAGACAATGAAGAACATTTTTTCCCCCTTAGTCACAAGGTGGCAGCAAATGTCCAAATTTTGTTCTTTCATAGTATCTGTATCAAAGAGACTGTCATATTCTTCAGGTAAGGAATTTTGTTTGTAAGTATATGGGTTATAATGCTATAGGTATGTCAGACTATTAGATGACTAGATTGAAATATGAGTAAATCTTGAAACCATGTAACAGAAAATTAATAAAAATTTTAGCTGTATAACTTTTTTTCCCCCCTCTTGAGGCTTGAACTCAGGGCCTGGGCTCTGTCCCTGAGCCTGTGCTCATGGCTAGTGCTCTACCACAGCGCCACTCCAATAGTTTATTGGAGATAAAGTCTCATGAACTTTCCTGCCTGGGCTGGCTTTGAACTGTGATCCTCAGATCTCAGCCTCCTGAGTAGCTAGCCTTAGCTAGCATGAGCCACTGATGCCCAGCCTAGCTGTATAACTTTTAATAACATGTATCAGTGTTCTTTTTCCAGTTTTAAAGATAATATTAAGGCTTTCAGCTTCATTAGGGACAAAGTGATACTGACATTTTTAGCAGTGACAAGCATGTTGCAGATGCCTTTTGAAGAGAAGCATCTGTGTCTGCAATGTTACTATATTCCCTACGTGGGTGGGACTATAACATGCCACTTTGTGTGAACAAGAATCACCAGGCACTTACAGATGACATTGTTAAAACATAGAAGAATTTTGCCAAGATGTAACTTGAGTCTGCTTTTGGAAGAAATAAGGGCTTACCTTTATATATGCTCATGCACTGTTCAAGTGTTAATATACTTTAGCATAAGAAATTTAATGTGATTTTAAAGTATTAGAGTACATTCCATACAGTTTTGGTATATACCATGTATCAGGTACTATGTAAAGCACAGGGGAAAAAACTACACCTCAGTATAGCTCACTAAATCTGAAGTGAAAAGTTATGCCTCTGTATGCTATCATCTTTGAAAATATGAAGGAAAAAATTCATTATTAAAAACTTGGGGTGATACCTCTTTTTCATGTGAGGTTTGAAAAGTATCTCTAGCATTATTGTAGAGAATGAATTTCGGGAAGTAGATTGTAGCCTTTGTAGTTACCTCAGAACAAATGACACTTTATTAAGAGAAATGGAACTGTAGTTGGAGAAATTTAAAACTGAAGTGGTAAAAGTGAAAAGATAATTGGAGATGAGCTGTAATTGGAGACATTTAAAACTGAAGTGGTAAAAGTGCAAAGATAGTGGTTGAGTAGACCTGGAGAGATTAGGAACAGGGACACATGAAAGACAAAACTTGATATTCTGAGTTGCACTCAAGTGGCAATCTTTACCATTATCTACAGGAAGGAAGTCATATTTCCTTTTAATTTAGTATACATTATTACAAGAGGGATCTCATTGTGACATAGGAAATTGTATTTGGCTTTAGAGACAAGAGTTTGAAGATGTTTCTATTTACAGGGAAGTGAACTGGTAAATCCATCTGGGTCTGAGCTAAAAAGTGTAAGTTTAAGACAAAATTGTTGGTGGGTTGAGAGTGTTTAAAAAGGAAGAAAGCAAGCACTTTAAACTGAGCATTGAGCAACTCTGAACTCTTAGTAGAAGAGACTACAAAAAGGGACTGAAAAAAATAAACTAAAAAGGGTAGGTTAAAAACCAACAGAAAGAAAGGAAGATCTAGTATTGACTTTTTCTTATTCTTTATTGATTTGTTTATCTGTGCTATCTTTCATCTCTTACACTTGAGTATCTGTTTTTTCAGTGGACTCATTTGCCATCTTTTGGAATTTGTTAAGCTTTTTATTTGTGTTCTCGTTCTCCATGAATTCTTCCATTATTCTTTGGTTAGTTTTGTCATCTTCATGAACTATCTTGTATATTATGTGAAGTAAGTTAGGCCCAGAGAGAAAAGGGATGCATTTTTTCCTAACATGTGGAAGCTAGATTGAGCTTATAAACATAAATACATTTGTAGTATGCAAATGTATACAAATGTACTAACTGAAATACAGTAGACTCAGAGAAGTCAAATAGTGTAATTCCTTAGAAAGTCAAAATCAAAGCTCAGCAAAATAAAACACTAGGAAGTGAGGTCGCCAAAGGGGTAGGGTAGGGTCAAGAAGAAAGGGATCGACAAATGAAGAGAAGTGGGGCAGAATGCAGTAAAAAAAAAAAAAAACCAACAATGTATACATCCTACAAAATTAAGAAGAGTGAGGGAAGGAATGGGTAGGAGAGAGATGGGTGAGAATGTTGAAAGGGATGGCATTGATCAAGCTATCTTCTATTCATAAACTGCTTTGTTAAAAAAAAGAAAAAATAAAGGAAGAGCCAGATATCCATGAATCATGCCTGTAATACTAGCTACTCAGGAGTCTGAGGTCTGAAGACCATGATTTGAAGCCAGCCCAGGTGGGAACGTCTGTGAGACTCTTATATCCAGTTAACCAACAAAATTCTAGACGTGGAGCTGTGTCTCAAGAGGTACAGCACTAGTCTTGAGCAAAAAAGCTCAGGGACAGCGCCCAGGCCCTGAGTTTAAGCACAGGACTGGCACACGCACAAAAAAGAAAAATGAATTTAAAAAAAGTTAGAGTGTTATACCACAAAAGATTAAAATCAGATAATGGACTGAGAAGAAAATGACATTCTAAGCAGAATTAATTATAACTGAAATATTAAAATGTTAATTATCATTTATAATTGTTCACTTCAGGCACATCCACTATGCTTCTTACTATAATAAATTGTGCAGATTGGTCTGATACATGTACTAAGCAAAATGTTACTGAATTTCCTGTGGTAAAGATGTACAAGGAAGGCGAGAACCCAGTGTCATATGATGGTATGTTAGGGACTGAAGCACTTTTAAAGTTTATCCAACTGTAAGTATTCAGCTTCACTACTATTTCTAAAGTTTGGAGCTTGGAGTTTCAATTCTTTTACCTTGTTGATATACTGTTAACACATTAAGAAGGATACTAGAACTGAAATCACAGAGTAAATATTGTTAAATAGGGTCTTTGGACATTTCAACACTTTTTTAATTGTATTGATTGTGTGTGTGTGTGTGTGTGTGTGTGTGTGTGTGTGTGTGTGTGTGTGTGTGTGTGTGATAGTCGTGGGGCTTGAACTCTGGGCATGGGCACTGTTCCTGAGCTTTTGTGCTGAAGGCTAGCACTCTACCACTTGAGCCACAGCTCCACTTTCAGGTTTTTTTTTGTAGTTTAGTAGAGATAAGAGTCTTTCAGATTTTCCTTCCCGTTCTGGTTTTGAACCTCAAACCTCAGATTACAGCCTCCTGAGTAGCTAGAATTATAGGCATGAGCCACTGGTGCCTGGCTTAATTAAATCGATTTTTGAAAGAATACTTTTGTCTTTATATTGGTACATATTTATCTTGTGTATATATTTCTTGCTAAGTTTAATGTTTTTTAAGAAGCTGAAAATTACTTTTAAAAATTGATTTTGAATATAGTTGTATATTCATCCAGCAACAGGATTTCATGTCCAGTAAACATAGCCTCAATCCAAGAAGCAGAAGAATATTTAAGTGGAGAATTATATAAAGACCTGATTGCCTATTCTAATGTGTCAGTACTGGGACTGTTTAATCCAGCCATGATAACAGGTAAGTAGAGGTGACCTTTAAAATTGCTTTCTAGTTGTTATGTGTGTGTGTGTGTGTGTGTGTGTGTTTGTTGGACCTGGGGCTTGAACTCAGGGCCTGGGCATTGTCTGTGAGCTATTTTGCTCAAGGCTAAGTGCTCTACCACTTTGACCCATTTTTGTGGGATAGTTAATTGAAGATAAGAGCCTCACAGACTTTCCTGCCCAGGATGGCTGTGAACTGTAATCCTCAGATCTCAGCCTCCTGAGTAGCTAGGTACAGATGTGAGCCACCAACACCTGGCTTGAGGTTAATTTTAAAAGAGTATCTAAGTTAATATTTTGTTTTATCTTTATAATTTTTTATCTTTATAATTTTATCTTAGTCAACATACTTGTATACTCTTACCATTGTAGCTTTAAAAATGTTATGCCTATGTAAAGCTCAATTAAGTTAAATATATACATATACGTATATTCCAGAATATATATATATATACATATATTCCAGAATATATATAAATATGTACATATACATATATTTCAGAATTTATCTGCAATGTTTATGCTGTTTTCTTTATCTCTCTGCATATGGAGAATATGTTTAGTCTTTGTGTGGATTTTTAGAATATTTAATGGTTTAGATTCTTAGTGAAATAATTTTGTCCTCTGTAAATTGTGCTCATTGTAAAATTGTAAATTATATATGCAACTCTTTTTCTTGTGTATGCCATTACTGGGGCTGGACTCAGGGCCTCATGTTGTTGCTTGGCTTTTTTGCTCAAAGCTGAAGTTCTACCAGCAGAGTCACACCTCCACTTCCAGCTTTTGGTGAAGTGGAGATAAGAGTCTCACAGAGTCTTTTGATTAGGCTGGCTTTGAATGGTGATCTTCAGATAACCAGGATTACAGGCAAGAGCCACCAGTGCTCAGTTTTTCTTGCTTTTTTTTACTAGGAATGCTGACTAATTTCCATAAAGTAGTTCTTTCATTTTCTTGTCTTTATTGCCTTTCCTGTCTTCTAGGTGAATATTAGCTTTATACATATATTACCTTAATACATAAAATGTCTGCTGCTTGCTTTGTGCTTTACTGGCATTTCATATGCTTTTTTGTGTATGTAAAGACTATGTGTATTTTGCTTGTATCTTCCAGAAACTGCCTGGTCTTAAAACTCCCTGGCTCAAGCTCTTTTCCCACTTCAGCCTCCCATGCTCCCATGTAGCTAAGGCTGCCAGTGCACTAATTCATCATTTATATACATACCCCAAATAAGGTTTATAGTACAAAAAAATTTATATATCTTTTGGTTTAGATAATTATTTCCTTGAATTTGAGATCACTGTATATTTTCTGCCATATATGTAATTTTCATTTAGGAACTGAAGAATATTCCTAGTTTTGAATGTTCAGAAAAAAAAATATGTAGCCTGAATTAGTAGGTCATCTGAAGTCTATAGCCTTACATCTTCCCATTCCATAGTTACTTAGTATTTATTTATTTTTTTAAATGAAGAGACTTTCAGCAAGTATATTCAGGAATAGAGAGGCTTCTGTATGAGGAATTTATGTGAGAATACTATTTCTTTCCACTGTTACTTGTCAAAGAAGAATCAGAAAGTTTCCATTATGGTAGATACAAGTTTATCCATTGATAAGAATTTAGCTGTTTTTCTTAGAAACAAAAGTAAACCAGCAAGTCCTTTTGTAGTTGTTTGTTTTCTTATGAATCTTTCCTACTTTGGTAGGAAAAATATTTTAAGGAGTTACCAGTTTCTCATTAAATCCATGACTTAAATAAATAAATACATACATACATATATAAATTTAAATCTATGAGCTCTAAATGCTCCCAAAAGACTGACTGAGCCACCTTGGTTGGTTAGTTAGCTTTTCTTACAACCATATTTTTTAATCTTGTGGAGAATATATATTCTTTTAAAAGAGAACCTCATGGCTACCCAGTGATGACATTGCTGACTCCTAGGGTGTAGATCTGCAGGCTCAGCATGCTTAGCCCTGTAGGTGCTTTATGGCTTACTTCTTTCATCAACATTTTCTATTTGTGCTGCTATAAATCTTTGGTGCACAGGGCTGAGCTAGCAATTGTCTTTCACTTAACAAGAATGCTTCATTTAGTATTAAGTCAGCATCTGCACTTTTCTCATTAGTCCACAGTTACTTAATTCAAACTCACTTCTTGGTTAAAAGAGTGTGATTAAATCCAGGATATGCTATTGTTTATGAAAACATTCTGAAATCTATAGAAATAGTAGCTTTTATTTTGGAATATATTAATACATGAGGAAAGACTGATGCACAAATAGTCAAAATTGAAAAAATAACAACTACATTACAGAAAATGAAGAAAATAAGACAAAAATTCTCATAGTTACACAGTCCTAATGTGAACAGTGTTAGAGGACTAAACTTCCCAGTCTTTTGTGCACATAGGAACTTTTCCATTTTATAATTGTGTCTGTGTGTCTGTGTGTGCGTGTGCTGGTCTAGAAGCTTAAACTCAGCGGCCTTGGTACTGTTCCTGAGCTTTTTTGCTCAATACTAGAACTCAACCACTTAAGTCACACTTCCACTTCTGGCTTTTTGGTAGTTAATTAAATAGTTTGTTGGACTTTCTTGCCCAAGCTGGCTTCCAACCATGATCCTCATTGTCAGCCTCCTGAGTAGCTCAGAGTACAGGCATGAGCACCAGCACGAAGCTGTGCTTGTTATTTTTGAGATAGATTCTTGCTTCCTCTCTAGGTGTGGGCCTGAACAGTTACCCACCTATATTTAACTTCCTATCATAGGTAAAATGATAGGCACATGCCACCATGCCCAGTTTCTGCTGATAAAGAGTCTCATGAACTTTTCTGCCTAGGCCTGGTTTGTGGCAGAGATTCTACCACAAAGATAAAATCACAAGCATGTGCCACTATGCCCAGCTGTGGGTTTAACAGGTTCTTACAGACTTTTCTGCCTGGGATTGCCTTAAAGCATGATCTATTAGTAGCCTCCCAGGTTGCTCGGATTACAGGTGTGAGCCTGACACCCAATTCAAGTTTGTGATTTTTGAAGTGTATATCATTTTACATATTTGTTTCTCTTTTTAGCATACATATAGGATGCCTGTCTCCATTTACCATGCCTTAGGAGTAAAATACTATTATCTATAAATCTGGTCATCAGTTTGAACGGTGCACATAATAGTAAAGGTCTCAGAAATTTTTTTCTTGTCTTTGTCTCTACAGCAAAAGAATATTTCATTGAAGCAGGAAATTACCTAAAAGGACATGCCATTACTGGAATTTACTCTGAAGATGATGTTTGGATATTGTAAGTTACTGCTTTTCTAATTTTAGGAAGAAGCTAAACAGTATAATGTGTTTAGGTAGCTGATTTGGGAAGAAAGAGCAGTACCATAAATAAAATTTAAATTTCCTTCTAGGAAGATCTGGGAAGTGCCAGACTGTTTAGATTCTTTATTCTTTTACTTTACGTTGAAGTGCCCACAGGATAATCTTGAATTTATACTTCATCTTCCTGTAAAAATTTTCCTCTTGGATTACTATATTTCTGAAGCTTTGGTTCTTCAGAATTGTCATGATTTTTAGAGAGTTTTACTTATTGAGTATCTGCTTTTGTTTGCTGCCAAAAATATACTTTAAAAGATCAGCATCTTATAGCCACTTACGTTGCTTTGTATGTGGAAGATGGGGCTCCTATGGATTGTCCAAGATTTTCATTCCTGTAGGATGAAGAACTAGACTTCAAATTTGGAGACTGTTACTAACACATATCATATTATGTGCAAATTGATTTATTCAGTAAGCCCAAGTAGTTTGTCTTTCTTACCTCCTGACTATAATATTCCTACTTTTGATTTGTGTGATCAAATCTCTCATCTTTGACACTGCTCTTGATGGTGAAGCTGCGCTTTATTTTGTACAATAAGTGGTTTTTTAAAACTATATACTAAACCAGAAAACATATCCATATGATAATGTATGATCACTTACTATTTTCATCTCTCAATATGTATTTAATTATGGTCCACAGAATGATGCTAATACTTTTAAACGTGTTTTGTTTATAATGAACTGGTTGACCAAGAGGCTTCTAGATGATCTGGCATGAGTTAAATCTTTATACATATGGCTAACCTCACTGGTAATTTCACACAAAGCATTTCCCTATTTAATTCAGAGAAATTTCTTTTAAGATTCAGTTAGCAAAAATCTTAGGAAGGCAGACTTGGGCATACATTTTGTGTTGAGATTGCCTCATTTGAATTTGTTGTCTGCTGTTTATCATTCTCTGAATCCTGTTTGTGTATAAAATGAGACATAGGAGCTACTTTATAGGCATAGTCTAATATATAGCTAAGTTTCTGCCATCACTGTGCTAAAAACGTGTTGTGATCAATCTAAAAAGGTCAAGAGCCACTCAGGGTTCCAAACCCTGTCTAGACCTTTTCTTGATGAATTAGTTGTGCTGGGATTGAGGGTTAGAGGGATTGGTATGGATTAGTGTCTATTGCTATTTTTATATTGAGTTTGTCAAGGTTCCTGAATTTCCTTAGGTGGCCTCACATGGAAGACAAGTTTGTGTGGAAATTGAGTTAATTTTTTTCTTAACAGTGAGCTTTTCATTTGTTGCCTCTTGCTGTGACTTGCTGGCTTATGTTTTCATGCTTTTGATGACTTCATATATTTTGTTTGTGAATTTCCCCCTGCATTTTCTATTAGCATCAGGAGATTATATTTTGACATGTTCGTATAGGCATATGTTTATCAGACTCACCCCTTCACTCACTTTCCCTCCTTCCCACTTCTCAAATTAATCTCAGCAAGTTCCATTGTTCCATTTCACACATGTACATAAAGTACTTTGGTCATGTTCACCCTCTTCCACCTACTCTGTTTACCCTATCCTCTCCTGCTAGTGCTCATACTCTGGACAGGACCTGCTTTATATTCCTGTCATTCATTGTTTTTTTTGTTGGCATGAGATAATTTCTCAAAGTGAACTCACCATGGAATTTCATACATGCCTACACACTACCTTAACCAGACTGATGCCTTCACTCTCACTCCTTTATCCTTATTAGTCTCTATTAGTCAACAGCCTTCAGGGAATGTAGTTTTGTTATCTTCATATATTTCAATGTTGTTTACCTAGCATTCACTTTTCATCTTATTTTAATGCTACCTCTCCATAGGTCAAATAAATATGCTGTAACTCTCCCAGCCCTGGTGCTTGCCAGACACAAAGAAGACAAAATAGAAAGTATTCCACTAGTTGGCTCTCATGCACAAGACATAGTTCAAATAATAACAAGCGCATTACTGGAAACATTTGTGAGTATTTTTTATTTATTTTTATTATTTTTTTGGGAGGTCCGGTCGTGGGGCTTGAACTCTGGGCCTGGGCGCTGTCCCTCAGCTCTTCAGCTCAAGGCTAGCACTCTACCACTTGAGCACAGCGCCACTTCTGGCTTTTTTCTTTTTCCTTATGTGGTGCTGAGGAATTGGACCTAGGGCCTCAGGCATGCAAGGCAAGTGCTCTGCCACTGAGCCACCTTCCCAGCCCCTTGTGAGTATTTTTTGTAATGAGGCTATTTGAAATAAAAATCTAGGTCAGTTAAGAAAGAGTTGAATGAAAAATGAAAGGTGGCAGAGGAAAGCCACTTTAAGAACTAAATAGGGACAGATATATGCCAGAGATTATTGTTTGAGGATGGTCTGGTACTGTATTCAAAGGTAGTTGGTACCACTTAAAAAAAAATTCATTCATGTGGATGCTAGTGTGATTCAGTGAAAAGGGAAGTTGGTGAGCAGGATGCCTAAGATCTAGTTTCAACTCTTCCCCCTCCTTAACTCCATGACTTCAGCAAGTCTCTGTTAGCTGGGAATGGCTTATGTGATAGGGGTGATTTATCACCTCACAGATTAATCAGATGCTGAAGTAACAAATCTGGAGGTAAAAATGGAAAATAGTGAAGACTGTGCTCTTCTGTCACTGCCATTCTTCATTATAAGGACATTAGGATTGTTTGTTGATCTTTTGTTATTAACAACCTAGACAAACTCTCTTCTACAATTACGTTTTTGGAAGTGAATACTAGTAATAATATTATTATTCTAAATAATAATAATAATTATTCTAAACAAATGTAGTTGCCTTTTGGGTTTGTTTTAGCATGTGATTAACTTAATTATGCCAAAAATCTACAATCTTGAAAAAAGTTTTATTAATTTTTATTTTAAGTAATCATAGACATTAAAAGAAAAATGTTTTAAACTCAGCATATATATAGAGAGAGATCTCTGTCTATATATCTATCTATATCTATCTCTATAGATAGATATCTCCATAGATATCTATAGATAGAGGTATCTCTATCTGACTCTGTAGATATCTATCTCTATAGTTATCTATCCCTTTCTGTACATATTTTGGTTCTGGTCCTGGGGCTTGAACTCAGGGTTTGGGCACTGTCCCTGAACTTCTTTTTGCTCAAGGCTAGTGCTCTACCACTTGAGCCTAGCACCTCTTCTTTTTCTAAGTAGTTTCTTGGGGATATAAGTCTCATGGACTTTTTTGCCTGGGCTGGCTTTGAACCCAAAGCCTCAGATCTCAACTTCCTTCATAGTTAGGATTATAGGCATAAGCCACCAGCAACTGGCTTCAGGATATTTATATTTTGCTTACAAAATTTTGGTAGAGGAAAACTGTAAAAGAGTTTTGCTTTTCACATGCATGTTGGCTAATCTGGCCCAGATTTTAGCATCAGAAGTTATTAAAAGTTAATTTTTTCATCAGAAGCATTTAGTAATTTATTTTGGAGATAATTCATTTATGGAGTGAGGTGAGATTGAGTAAGAAACTTCGGACTCATTGTTATTAGTATTACATAATCCATTTAAATTGGAATGTGTTTGAATTATATTTCATTAACTAAATTTGCATACGTGACTTAAATGTTGTTTTCTGTTTTAGGCTGCATCATACCTATATTTTTTGTGTCTCATAGTTGTTTTTTGTTTTCATTTTGGTTTTTCTGTTTAACAGCCAGAAATCACTGTGCAAAATCTTCCCTCATATTTAAGACTTCAGAAGCCACTACTTATTTTGTTTAGTGATGGCATCATAAATCCTCAGTATAGAAAAGCAATATTGACACTAATGGAACAAAAATACTTGGATTCACTTACTCCTTGCTGGTTAAATTTGTAAGTTTATTTTAGTATTTTTGTATGTAAGGTAATAAAAAAGGACGTGATGGCACACTCCTGTAGTCCCAACAATTGGGGCACTTGAGGCAAGAGGATCTCTAATTCAAGGCCAGACTAGTACATAGTGAGACCCTGCCTCAGAAAAGAAAACACCAAAAATGTAAAGTCAGTATTGTTACGTTAATACATTTTTGGTAAGAAATGGAATTCTGTAGTCTTGCCTTTGGAGTTAATATTATGGGACAAAATATGCAATCATGATATTTTATTAATTCAGTTCCTTCAAGAAAGTTCCAAGAAGTCCTTGTTTTAGAATGTGATTCAACATTGATTTGTTTATTTATTTATTTTTCCTACTACTTGGATTTTTTTTTTCCTCTAGTACTTGAATTTGAACTCAGGGCCTCACGCTTTCTGGGCTTGCTTGTTTAGCTGGCATTCTTATCACTTGATCCTCACTTCCATTCTAGTCATTTTTTTTAAGTAATGATTTTTCTGATTTTTAAAGTAATTGATATGTATTAAATTTTTGGCAGATAGAGAAAAATAAGATTGTAAGATTTTGGCTTTTTCTCTCAGTTCATCTTTCTGTGTTTCTATATTGTTGAAGTCCAGCCAGTAAAGTTAGGAAGTGCTTCAGTGCACTTTCCAACAATCTTTTCTGCTATGTTTTTCTAGATGTATGACTGGTGTTACACCCTATAATGGTCTGTCACTTGTTCACATCATCAGATCAAAGACATTTCATTTTTTAACTTATTTGAAAAATTGCGATAATAGTGACTATTTTGCTGTGGGTTTTATGAGCAATACTACTTACTGCTTGAGGCAAAAATTTCCCAGGTAATTATTATTGCAGCTATCTAAGAATTCCGTTTTATATAATGGAAAATTTACTGCCTTGGGCAAACTAGTTTTTTGTTGTTGTTGTTTGTTCTGGTACTGGGTGCTTGAACTGGATCCAGGCCTTTCTCACTTGGCTTTTACTCATAGCTGGCACTCTACCCCTTGAGCCATATCTCCGCTTCTAGCTTTTTACTAGGTATTTGGAGATGGGAATTTCATGGAGTCATATGCCTGGGCTGGCTTTGAAATGAGATCCTCAGATTTTAGCCTCCTGAGTAGTTAAAATTACAGGCATGAGCCTGAATTTTTTTCTTGTGGGAACATAACTATTTTAATCCCTTCTTTTTCATGAAGAAAGACACCATATTAGAAAAGAGATATTTATGTAAACAAACATTCTGTTATCTATGTTATGATTATATAACCAGTTAATTTTGTACTGACATTTTATCTAGAGAGGAAGCTATTGATTATGTCAAGTCTAAGCTGACTAACCTTTGGGCTATGTATGTGATTGATGAAAACTGTTATTAGTTGCCTTTTTTTCCTCCTAAGAAAGACTATCTCATGTTAAACTTTTTAAGAATTTCATTGCTAACACAGTGATAGACTTCATGGTTTTTAGGATGCCTTTTTATAAAGCAAATTTACTGGCATGGTAATTCAAGTTTAATGTTTTATAAACTATTATTTATTTTGTTAAGGAAAGAATCATGAATATGATCTATTGTTTCTTTTTGTAGAAAGAATACTCCTGTGGGGAAAGGAGTCCTGCAGGCATATTTTGGTCCTTTGCCTACCCTCCCTGTTCTTGTTTTGGTGAATCTTCATTCAGATGGCCATGTATTTGCATTTCCTTCAGACCAGTCAATAACTGAACACAGCCTTATATTGTGGCTTAAGAAATTAGAAGCAGGGCTAGAACATCATATCAGTAAGTTTTCTGTTTTATTTAATACACACAATTCTGTATTTTGCCACATAGATTTCAAACTTTAATTGTAGCTAACAGATACTAGAATAATTTTAATGTTTAGAAATATCCTAAATATTAATATGTTGATAATACTGTCCATGGGATAATCTCTAATTTTAAAGACTAACATACAAGGTCTAACAGGGATAAGAACAATTAGCTGATCTACAGGCCTCTTTGTTTGGAATGTTAATTTAGAGTCCATATTGCTTCTGTAGATTGCCAGTATTTTTAATTTAGTTGAAAAAATTGAAGCCGGGTATCAGTTGCTCATGCTCAGCTACCTGAGAAACAGAGAATGAAAGGATTATGCTTTGAGGCCTGCCCAAGAGAAATGCTCACAAGACCCCTTCTTAACTCACAGCAGGGTACAGTCGTGATGTCTGTTATTCTAACCTAACTGTGTGGGAAGCTGACATCAGGAAGATTGTTGTTTGAGAGCTACCTGAGCAGAAAAGTCCACAAGATACCATTTTAGCAGAAGAATCTGTATGATAGCACACATCTGTCATTTGTATATGATGGGAAACCCTAAAATGCATAGATTGTGGTCCAGGTGTGTGCCTGGGAAGTGTAAGGTTCACTGAAAGGCGACCACCACATGGTTCAGGTAGAAAGGAGTTTATTGGGGGGAGAGCATATGTTGGCTGCACCAGATGGAGGGTGCAGGGGGTACAAGGGTTGTAGGGGAAGGGAAAGAAGAAGGGAGAGGGAGAGGGGCAAGGTGCGGAACTGTTGATGGAGATTGACTATGTAGGGAAAGATGGGGAGAGGAGGTGTGGCCACAGTGGTGACCTCAGAGCCTGGGGGACCTCCCACTGCCCCCAGGTGCACACTACCTGGGTTACACAGATGTTGGGTGGGGACTTACAGGGAAGGGGCCATGGAGGGAGAACAAGGTAAGGGACCATTTTCTCCCCTTCCTGGGGAAGACCTAACAGGAAGGAAGTAGTCCTATTGGAAAAATAGAAAGAAAAAAAAATCAGGGCTGGAAAAACAGCACCAGTAGGTCATGCCTTGTAATTCTAGCTACTCAGGAGGCTGAGATCCAGAAGATCACCATTGGAAGTCAGTCCAGGCAGAAAAAGTCCATTACACTCCCATCTCCAAAATATCCAGCAAAAACAAGGGCTAACAGCCTGGCTCAGTGGTGGAGTGCTAGCTGAGCAAGCATGAGGCACTGAGTTTAAACTCCAGTACTTCCAAAAAAAAAGAAAGAAAAGAAAAGAAAATCAGGGTAGGGATGTGGCTCAGCAAGTGCAAAGTCCTAAATTCAAATATAAAAAAATGTACAATGGAACATTAACACATTAAAGCATAAATAAATCCTTTGCGCTCTACTTTTTTCTAAATAAAACAGAATTGTGGCTTTCTTAAGACAGTTCTCATGTGGTCATATATATATAATATATATCTATATATGCCAGTTTGTCTTCTTTCTGTAAGTAAAAGCAGATATATGGTTTGATAGAAGGTGAAAACATCTAAGGAATGGTACATTATTATTAAATGAAAGTCTGGTTCTAAATATTCTAAAAATATGGCTCTTAAACTGAAGCTATCTTTTCAGTTTCTCTCTTGCCATTTATTGTTTTTACCAGTCAGATAGGTCTACCTTTTGGTTATGGTATGCATGGCTTTTACATTATAGACAAGTTATTTCAAAGGAAGTTACTGTGACATTAAAAATAACAGCCAGTATTTATTGAGTATGCACTCTTTTCCAGGCATAGTACTAATTAAATTTCAGGATTATCTGATTTAGTTTTATAACTCCCTGAGTTCACGATGTTATCATTATACTATTTTTTTCAGATGAGAAAATGGAGACAGAGTAGCCTGTCAAAGGTTATTCACTTAATAAATACCAGAGTAGGAATTCAAACGCTACAGTGTAACCCCAGAGCTTCTATTCTTAACCAAGTGCCTGAAGTGTCAGTGTATGATTTCACTTGTTTTATTGGATCTCCAAGTAACCATGTAATTAACAGTCTATAAAGTTTCTAGTATTGTTAGGTAATAATCAAGTTTGCAGTGATTTTTATCTCAACTTTGTGGTTTTCTGTCTAATTCTATATATGTAAACTAATGCAGTAGTATTTTAAAAGCCATGATTGTGTCTTTCTCTGTTTTGGCTGTTCCTGGGCCTTGAATTCAGGGCCTGGGCACTGTTCTTGAGCTTCATTTCGGTCAAGGCTAGTGTTCTACCATTTGAGCCACAGCTTTACTTCCAGTTTTTTCTATTTTATTTGGAGATAAGAGTCACGGACTTTTCCTGCCTGAGGCTGGCTTTGAACCACATTCCTCAAACCTCAGCCTCTTGAGTAGCTAGGATTACAGGCATGAGCCACTGGTGCCTGGCTGACATGATTGCCTTTTAACTTTAATAATTATAGTAATAACTAGTAAAATGTGCTTTATTAACTGTTTTAACTAATTCTTACAAGAAGCCTATGTGACAGGTATTGCCCACAGAAAATAATTATATTACATTTTATTAAATTTAATGATAGTAACACTTATCAAATGTTTTGTGTCTACTACAATGCTAAATGATTTATTATTATCTTTTACTCCTCACAAGAATGGTATGAAATATCTGTAGAAGAGTTAGGTAGCTGAAGTCACAATTAAACAGTAAAGGAGACACATTGTAGCAAATCTGTACCTCATATATTTACCATTATTTGTGATGAGAACATTAAAATCTATATTAGTATTTTCAACTTACAAGACATTATGGTTTAGTATGGTCATCATGCTGTTCAGCAGATCTCCAGAACTTACTCCTCTCATGTAGCAAACTTTGTTCTCTTTGACCAACATCTCTCCTTTTCCTATCCCTCACCCCCAAACCCCTGGTAACCACCATTCTGCACTCTTCATCTGTGTGTTTTATTATTTTATTTATTTGTTTTATAGCTAGTTTAAAACTCACAAACTCCTGCTTCTACCTCTCAAGTGCTGGGATTACAAGTATGCACCACTTCACCTGATCGATCGTATTAGATTTTTCATATAAATGAGATCATATGGTATTTGTCTTCCTATACTTGGCTTATTTTACTGAACATAATGTTCTTCAGCTTCATCCCTATCTTTCACAAATGAAGGTACTTCCTTTTTTTCTAAGGCTGAATAGCATTCCATTGTGTATATATACCACAATCCTTTGATAGACACAGACTGATTTCAACTCATGGCTATTGTGAATAATGCTACCATGATTGTGGGAGTGCCTGTATCTCCTTGACATACTGATTTCAGTTTTTTTGGATGTATATTCAGTAGTGGGATTGCTGGATCATATACTAGTACTACTTTTAATTGAAAGAACTGCCATACTGTTTCCCATAATAGCTGAACTATTTTACATTGCCATCATACATACAAAGATTTTCTTTTCTCCACAACCTCACTTTATCTTTTTTAAAAAAATAAAATATATTTTTATAGTATTAGATGATAGCTCAGTTTAGTTTTAATTTTCATTTCTCTGATGATTAGTGGAGTTGAGAACCTTTTGATATACCTATTAGCTTTACTATCTTCCTTAGAAAAACATCTACTCAGGTCCTTTGCCCATATTTTAATTAGGTTGTTTTGCTATTGAGTAGTTTGAGTTTCCTCCATAGTCTATATATCCACCCCTTATGAGATGTATGATTTGCAAATATGTATCTATTTCTGTACAGTTTCTTAATTCTTTTGATTCATTCATTTCCTTAGAAGCTTTTTAATTTGAGTATTTTTAAAAATTCCATTTGTCTTGTTTTTGTTGTCTATGCTTCTGGGTCATATTTAAAATAATCTCTGCCAAAACCAGTGTACAGCAGGGAAGGAGAAATCTGCCTTGTCCTTCTGCGTGTTGAGTGCTCCCTTCTGTGCGAGGGGATCTGCTTTCACCACCCTTTGGACAGATCTTCACTGACAGCAGTGCATGGAGTTAGGGGAAAAGAGATGCAGCAGGTTATAGCCACATTCTGGGAATGACTCACTGTTCCACAGTGTCATGGATGTTTTCCTCAACTTACTTGTTGCAAGTGAGGTGTGCCCACAGCCTACTCCTAGTTGAGATTTACACTTTGGCCCAGTTCCCCGACTTTTTTTATGTCTTTGTCTTCTCATCTACAAAATTGGGGAAATAATTGTGCTTCTGTTATTGTAAAGATTAAGTGAGTAAGGCCTGACATATAGGAAAGGCTCAATAAATGTTAGCTGTTATTCTTTATTAGTAGTAACTTGATGAATAAGGTATTTAACACCATGGTTAGAGTACAGTTTTATTTGCAGTTGATAGTATGACCTTTGTAGAGTTCCCTTAACAAGTAATTAGCATAATTAGAATGCTAACTTACATACATTTGTCAGCATCTCAAGACTGCTAGTCTCTGAATGCAGTGTTCACTTTAAAGATAAATATTGCAAAATATCTGCTACCCCTTTAACTAGACTCTTCTTAAAGATATTTTCATATACATATAGCTATAGTTCAGACTATAGCTGTTCTCACCCTGTCCTTATTCAGTATATTTAGAAAATTTTCATTTGTTACTTTTTAAATTTACTTAAAAATACAAAGGGGTTTCAATTCAACAAATCAAAGTTTATAACTATAATGCACCTTGATCAATGCCACCCCTTTCATTATTCTTTTCTATTGTCTTTCTTTTATGGGCCAATGCTGGGGCTTGAACTCAGGACCTTATACTCTCTCTAGACTTTTTCACTCACCTACTACTTGAATCACACTTCCACTTCTGGCTTTTTGCTGGTTATTTGGAGATAAGACTCTCACGGACTTTTTTTTTTTTTTGCCCATACTGGCTTTGAATCCTAATCTTCAGATCTCAGCCTCCTGAGTAACTGGGATAATAGGCATGAGCCACTGGTGCTCTGTTCATTGTCACTTCTGTATCTGCTAACCCTAATTTGAAACATCAGTACTATGGATAATCTAAATTTAATATTGTGTTGATATAACACGTGCTGAGATTTCATATGAATCAGTCTGAATGAAGAAATTATGTCAGTAAGTGTAGGGATACTTTAAATGTACATAAGCAGATTTTCTGTTCTAGGTAATTGAAGTTTACTCATATTTTCTAAGGCTTTAAAATATGTATTTGCTTTATAAAATCTCAAGTTTGTATTTTATGAGCACTTTCTTGGCTTGTAAAACTTTTATTTTTTAAAGTTTTAATTTGAATATTTCCTTCTATTGCTTATGTTTCCAAATAGTATTTTAAATGAGCCAACTTAAACTATTTTGTAAAATCCATCTACTAGGTAGAGAATGGTTATTTATCTCATATATGTTTGTCAGCTCTAATCAGTTTTTCTTTTTTTTCCCCCTTTGTTTTGACATACTAAAGTTTGAACTAAAAGTTTTGCACTAGCCAGGCAGACACTGCCACTGAGCCACTCCACCAAACCTTTTTGTTTTTGTTATGGTTTGAATATTTTTTTTCCAAGATAAGAAAAAAGTTTGTTGCAGTAAGTTAATCCAGAAAATGTCTAAGAAAATACCTCTCAGTTGGTTAGGGCAATAAGAGCTTCTACCACATTGCCCATGTGTTCCCGCAAGCTCCTCTCTGCTGCTGCTCTAGAGATCTCCATCTCTGTCATTATCAACTCCAGATCTTCCTTTTTGATTGTGACCTTTGCCAATTCCTTCTCCCGCTCCTGTTTGGCTTTCTGCTCCCGGGACCGTCTATCTCCGATGACGGACATGGCCGTCTCCAGGTTGGAGCTCTGGATCTTCTTCTCCTCCGCGTAGTCGGTGACCTGCTCCAGGTCCGCCGCACCGCTGTCATGTTTCCGGGGCTTCTGGGGGGGGGGGGGGGGCGCTCTGGGCCGCTGGTCTCGGTCTCCAACTCGAGCTCTACGTCTCTCCCTCGGTCCTGGTTTGAATATTTTTTGAATGTCCAGGTCATCACAGAACAAGATCCTCCTGTTTATGCTTCCTGTATAGCTGGGAAGACAGGCACATAATGGTACCCAGCTTTTTCTCCAGGCTGGCCTCAAACCATGATTTTTCCATTCTCAGCTTTCCAATTAACAAGGATTATAGGCATGAACTACAATGCCAATGTAGTTTTTCTTCTTTCTAATGACAAATACTTCAAAATAATATTAAGATTTATTGCCATAAAGCTCATGATCCAATTACTGTCTGTAGTATAGTTGGCTACACAGCAATTTAAAATTATTTGTTGTTTGTATTATTTATAGTCTGTAGGAAGGTTATTAATAAAATGAAACCTTCAAAATCAGAAAATGCTAGCCAGGCTCCAGTGGGTCATGCTTGTAATCATAGCTACTCAGAAGGCTGAGACAGGTGGATGGCAGTTTGAAGCTAGTTGGGCAGAAAACTCATGAAACTCTAATCTCCAATTAGCCAGGAAAAAAGCCAGAAGTGGAGCTGTGGCTCATATGTAAAACAGCAGCTTTGAACAGAAAAGCCAAGAGAGTGCAAGGCCCTGCCTTCAAGGCTTAGTACCAGCATGCATACACAGCACCAAAAAAAATCGAAAATGCTTTAAAGAAATATTTGTATAAAAGCAAAATAATAACTATGTTATGAAAATTTTTTTCCTGAATGATTATAAGAGTAAGTTACAAGACACTATGTTGAAAATGAACTTTACAACTTGGGGGTGGGGGAGTTGGGGAGTCAGGAAGGGAAGGGATAGGAGGGGAAAACAAAGGAGGGGATAACAGTGCTCATAGGCAATGTACTCATTACCTTACTCATGTAACTGTAACCCCCCTGTACAGTATTTACAATAAAATATGTATAAAAAAGAGCCATTTACATTTGGGAAGCAGTTGAGACTGGAGTAGAAAAGCAGGCTTTCTAAAAAAATTTTATTTTATTGTAAAGATGTTGTATAGAGGAGTTACAGTCATGAGTAAGGTAATGAGTACATGTCTTGTCAAACACTGTTACCCCCTCCTTTGTTTTATTCATACTATCCCTTCCCTCACTCTCCTCCCCCAAGACTTTTTATTTTAATTTATGTAAAGGTTGGTAAGTAGTAAGATCTTTCCTTTCTCTCCATTAGTAGTTATTTCTGTGTATGAATATAATATAACAAATGAAAATAACTAATAATGACATCATTTCCTCAAAATACTTAGCTTTGCTTAAGACTAACAAGGTCCTCTTGCCCACAGGTAAACTTTATGGATAATTTTCACGGTATAGTTATATGATTACATTTTATAGAACATTTTCTAGTATATTTATGTGACTATTTATAACTGCTAATCATTAACTCTTGGTTGTATCTTCCTCCAGCAACTTTATCTGCTCAGAAGTGGAAGCCTCCTCTTCCAGCCTATGATTTTCTAAGCATGATGGATGCTGAAACGTCGCAGCAGCATCCCACCAAGAAGGTTCCTGAGTGTCTGAAAGAAGGAGATGTGCGTGATAGTGGTAAGGGACATGAAGACAAATCAGCAGTCAAAAAAGAGCCCACTGAAACACCGAGAATAAAACATTGGAATAGAAATAACTGGTTTAAAGAAACAGAAAAATCACTTAGGCATGATAAAGAGTTATGAACTATTTACAAAGGGCTATCCTTTTTCTATTTGGCTTAATTGAGAGACTCAATAATTTATTTATTAAGAACTAATACTAAATCACATCAAGTTTCTAGACAAGTGCCCTTTAAAAGCATTACAATGGAAGTTACATACATAAATTTTTCAGGTAGCTAAAAAAAAAGTATAAAAGAGCAGGTGAAATTAATTTGACCTAGTTAGTATACCCCAGATAAGTAAAGTTATATGAAAAGCTTTCAGGGATTTACTTTTTCTTTTCTTATTTTTTTTCTTTTTACTACATCTTCAAAATACAGTGTATATTTGACATAAACTTGCTGTTTCTCACTACAGAATAGCTGTATTTCAAGTGCTCATTAACATATGGGTACGTGGCTGTTGTACTAGACACTTCATTTGAAGACAGAAGGTGATGCAATTAATTTAATTTAGTTCTAGTCACAATATATATTTGTATTAAAATTGAAATGTAATGCTAGTTTAAATCACAGTTGACTCTACAGTGGAGTCATATAGCTGGCAGTTATATTTGTTGTGATTTTCAGTCCTTCCCTGCCCTGGGAGATATTTGATTGGATGACTGAGGATGCTATTGCATCAAGTGGGTAGAGGCCAGTGCTGCCAAACAACCTATACCAAGACATCCCCTTACAGCAACCAATTGTCTTGCCCCAAATACCAGTATTGCTAAAGCTGAGTAACCCTGTGTTACTAACTTGTAGCAGAGGGGGCTCACCAAATAATCTGGATCTGCTCCATTCACATATTTGAAAAAAATACTGAATGTTAAAAATAAATATTAGGTGGTTTAATACCATATAAACTATCCTCTGGATGTAACTTTACCTTACTAATTTTAATATTTTCAAAAGTTATAACATATGCCCCCCAAAGGACTCAAGGTAATATTTTTAAAGAGAGTCTTAAACTGTTTCTGAAGGTTATATTGCTAAATTTCAGGTGAACAGAAATGAAATTTTCTGCTGTTCGCTTACAAACGGAGAGATTCCCTTATCTGAACAATGTCTAAAAATCTGTCTATCCGTATAATCTTTAAACAAATGAGTTTGGGGGCTGGGAAGGTGGCTCAGTGGTAGAGCGCTTGCATTGCATGCATGAGGCCCTGGGTTCGTTTCCTCAGCACCACATAAACAAAAAGAAAAAAGCTAGAAGTGGTGCTGCGACTCAAGTGGTAGAGCACTAGCCTTGAGCTGAAGAGCTGAGGGACAGTGCCCAGGCCCAGATTTCAGGCCCCACGACCAGACCCAAAGAAAACAAAACAAAAAAACAAACAAAAAAAAAAAACAAATGAGTTTGTCTCCTGGGGCCATAAGACCTTATCTTTATAAGAAGGAACAATTAGCCAAAAATTAATTTCTTAACAGATCACTTACTGTCAGGTTGATTTGTTTGCAGCAGTCATATGTGCAGTTGCTCTGAATTTTAAGAGATTTATTAAGAACATCCGACATGGTGCTTGTGAGATCTACTTATGGTAGCATATTCTTTAAATTTTTTCTGCATCTGGCTTATCTAATACAACTGTTTCACAACTGGAATTTAGTGGCTAAATGTCAATAAACTATACAATCCACTTTAGTGTGATGTAAATCATTTGCTGAGAGCAGCACCCTTCCTCGGTTAGCCTGTAGTGCCTTACTTGTTTCATTCATTCTCATTTAGGTTATTTCTAACATGGAAGATACGTGAATGAACTCTAATGTTTATAGTCATAAAAACATTATCAGCTTGATCAGTACAATTCTAATAACTGCCAGAATATAGAAACATGAAGTTGATTCATCATTGTACTGCAGCCAGCAATTTTGACACCCTTTAATATATGTTCACTTAAAGTGTCCAAATTTTAGGCTACCTTCAACAAAAACTTTCTTTGGCCTTTCTTGGGCCACTTACTTTTTTTTGGGGGGGTGAGGGGGTCCGGTCATGGAGCCTGAACTCTGGGCCTGGACGCTGTCCCTCAGCTCTTCAGCTCAAGGCTACTTGAGCCACAGTGCTACTTCCGGCTATTTTCTTTTTGCTTATGTGGTGCTGAGGAATTGAACCCAGGGCCTCAGGCACCCAAGGCAAGCGCTCTACCACTGAGCCACCTTCCCAGCCCCAGGGCCACTTACTTTTTATCAGTTGGATATCTTTGGTTCCAAACAACAGAAATGTTTCTTTAGCTAATTTAAGCAAAAAGGGAATGCTGGTCTACTTATAGAGCTAGAAGACAAACTAATATTTGAAAAGATAGGATTAATGTTATTCTGGAATCTGTGTAGCAGAAACAACAGCTCGGTAAAGAATCATCTCGAATAGGCTTCTGTCTTGTGACTCACAGTAGCCCTTAGGGAAGACTAAGCAGCAGCAGTGCAGAAGGTATAGCCCCTACAGAAGAAACTAAATTTTGTTCACTGGATAAAACTAGAATGAATGTGGAGAAGGAAAAACAGTAAGGAAATAGAAAAAACATCAACAGCAACATAGATGGTTGTTCTTCAGACCTTCGTGCCCTTTTGATATCGTTTTGCTCCATTTTGTCCACTTTTTGGGTGGGGGGGATGCTAGTCCTGGGGCTTGAACTCAGGGCCTAGACACTGTCCCTTAGCTTTTTGCTCAAGGCTGGTGTTCTACCACTTGAGTCAGTTCTACTTCCAGCTTTTTGAATCTCAAGAACTTTCCTTCCATAATGGAATGGAATAAAAGGCTCAGAAATCAATCCAAAAAACTACAGCCATCTATTCTTTGACAAATGCATCAAAACATGTTGGAGAAAAGACAGTCTCTTCAACAAATGTCTAATTGATATGTGAAGGAATCTTCAACAACCTTAGCTATAAAAGAAATACAACAAAACATCATCAAGATTCTGTCTCGCCCCAGTCAGAATGGCCATCATTAAGAAAACAAACAACAGGGCTGGGAGGGTGGCTCAGTGGTAGAGTGCTTGCTTTGTATGCATGAGGCCCTGGGTTCGAGTCCTCAGCACCACATAAGCAAAAAGAAAAAAAGCTGGAAGTGGTGCTATGGCTCAAGTGGTAGAGTGCAAACCCAGAGTTCAGGCCCCACGACCAGACCCGCCCTCCCCACAAAAAAAAGAAAACAACAAATGCTGGCAAGGATATGGGAGAAAGTGGAACCCTATGCTGGTGGGAATGTAAATTAGTGCAGCCACCATGAAAATCAATATTAAGTTTCCTTAGGAAAACCAATGATTGAACTACCACATGATCCTGCTATACCATTCCTAGACATACCCTAAGGAATGTAACTGGCATCCAGTTGAGATAACTGCATGTCTATATCCAGAGCATCACTATTCACAAAAATTACAGAAATCAGTCTGGGTGTTCATCAACCAATGAGTGGATAAAATGTATGCACGTACAATGGAGTATTAGTTAGCCATAATGAATGAAATCACGCCATTTTCAGGAAAATAGGTGAAATTAGATCATCGTGCTAAGTAACATAAACCAAACTAAGAAAGTAAATATGGAATATTCTCTCCCATATACAGAATCTAGTCCTTAAAAGTAAATGATGGGAAGCTGGGTTCCAGTGGCTCTCCCGTAATCCTAGCTACACAAGAGGCTAAGATCTAAGGATTCTTGTTTGAAGCCAGCCCAGGTAGGAAAGTCTGTGAGAATATCATCTCCAGTTAACCACCAAAAAAGCCAGAAGTGGAGCTGTGCTCAAGTGGTGGAGTGCTAAACTTGAGTAAAAACAGCTCAAGGACAGTATCCAGGCCCTTAGAAGAAACGGGGGGAAAATAGGAATGTACAACAGGTAACAGATACGTTACCAGTGGGATGGGAGGGTAAAGGAGAAGGGGGTAAGTATATGGTACAAGGTTTTTGGTTTGGTTTGGTTTGGTTTTGGTCAGTTGTGGGGCTTGAACTCAAGGCTTGGGCACTGTTCCTGAGCTCTGCTTTTGCTTAAGGCTAGAGCTCTACTAATTTGAGCCACAGCTCTACTTCTGAGTTTTTGGTAGTTAATTGAAGGTAAGAGTCTCATTGACTTCCCTGCCCAGGCTGGCTTTGAACTGTGATCCTCAGATCTCAGTCTCCTGAGTTGTTAGGATTACAGAACCAGCACCTGGCCGATGGAAGTATTTTATACACATGTAGAACAATGAAATTTGTTGAAATTGTTTTAAAGAGTGGTGAGGGAATGAAGAGGAGTAATTGGGTGAATTTGATCAGCGTACATTGTATACATATATGGAAAATGCACATTGTATACATATATGGAAATATGCCACCATGAAGCTATTTTGTGCAACTAATGTACAGTAATAAAAATGTAAAACAACATATGGGCACATTAATCACTCAAGGATAATCTGTTTAAGAACTGATATCTAACTTTTCTTATTCCCTAAATAGGCACAGGAAACAGCTTTTTGATTCTTTCAAGATTTTCCTCTTTAAGAACCTTTTTTAAGAAAATATTTTTAAAATTTTTATTGTAAAGATGATATGCAGAGGGGTTACAATGTATAAGTCAGGTAATGAATACAATTCTTTTTGAACAGTGTCACCCCTTCCCTCATTTTCTCCTATTTTTTTCTCTCCCAGCCCCCCTCCCCCACAAGTTGTATAGTTCATTTTCAACATGGTGTCTAGTGAGTATCGTGGCTGCATTTGTTCACCCTTTGTCCCACCATTTCTCTGCTTCCCCAAACAGATGAACTTACATACAAGACAAAAGTACAGAAATCAGGAACAGTGATAAAACGGGAAAAACAGAGAAACACACACAAAAAGTAAAATAAAAAGCCTCTTGTTTACATTTCTTGCAGTTCATATTGATAAACATTATTTTTTATGATCTTAGGCATATAGCTATTGAATCTTTGTGATCCTCTCCTAAGAATATCCTCCTTAGGTCTCACTGTGTGACTGTTTGAAGTCCTGTTTAATTGTCATATCCTTTAAGATTCTTAGAGTTCTCCCTATCAGCAGCAAACAGTGAGGAAAATTATCTAGGCCTTTTACCCCTT